TTCCTCTCGGCGACGGGAATGAGCAGACGCAGCAGCCTGGAAGGCGTGTCTTCAAGAGGGCGGAAAGAGGTCATTGCACGCTCCATGGAATGAATTGCGTAAAGACTGCTCAAATAAGTTTTCCGGCTTCACCTTAGTTATGCGCAGGCTCGCCAGAATTTTCTTGAACATGCGCAAAGAATTAATCCCGCCCGGATTCAACTGCGCAAGTGTTAAAAGAGAACGAGAGAGACCGAAGAGCCTTAAATTTTTTTTTAAGGGGTAACCTCTCCTAATTCGCATGCGTGGCAATCCCCACCGCCTGTCAGAAATTTCATCTGCGCGTGCGCTATTTTGTCCTTTTTTTTTTTTTTGCGCAGTTGCATTCCCAGCCAATCATGGAAGGCTAAGAAAAACACGCGAACAGAATTCACCTCAATTGCCCGACATAAAACGACGCAAGCGCACTATCGTCATTAACCTAGCGTGGCCTTGCTGTAGCGCGCATGCTTGGTAGAAAGCCTATCTTGAGTCGGTCTTGGAATCAAGAGTTAGTATGCGTAATGTGGAAGCACGGCTACCCCTATCAAAATTAAAGTGAGAGAATCTGCGTCAGGACTTGCGCATTAAACTCATTTTAAAAGGATTAAGTGGTGCAAAGAATAGGGATGGGATTGATAATTTTATTTGTTTTTTTGGAACTGCATTGGCGGCACACGCCAGATCCAATACTTGCGTTTGAAGTTTGAAAATTCTCTCCGCTTTGATTTGCAACTGATTTCGTGAACCTTTTTCGCTGCTTTGTGTTTTCTGAAAACTTGTACCTAAAAACAGATGTTCTTTTCCGTGCATATGATTTTGGACTTCAACTTCTGCACTGGTTTTCTTACAGAACCGTTGCAACGTTGCGAACTCCATAAAATAAAAAATATCCTTATTAGACCATTCGAAATATCACAACGCTTGAGTTGGTTGGAGGGCTCATAAACGGGAAAAAAAAAACACAACCCACCGGCTGATAGTGAAACCACGGGAACCTCTTATGGATTTTTCTAACGTAAAAAAGAAAATGATTTTAGGACTTACGATTTTGATTAGAAAAGTTATAGAAATAAGGGAATTATGTAATCTTAGAGAAGTTGAATTAGAATTGTATATATAAGTGCTAAGAGAAGATTGAAAGGTGCTTTTTATATGTATTTTTTCATGGTTTGTTTTTTTTCCCTAACTCCTTTTTTCTTCGTCTCTTCTCTTCATTTGCAATATTTTTTCTTTGAATGTATTTCTCATTAAATATGTAAACCTTTTAATAAAAACTATTTTAAACAGAATTTTCATTTAAAGTTCATCTATAAAGCAGAACATGGGATGTAGCAAGCATTCAGATAGATTTTGCTAAGTCCTTTGACAGGGTTGAGCCTTGTCTTTGAACTTTCATGATATGCTAATAAAAGAGGCTAGTAAAAACTCATTTGGATAACTTTAGTAAGCATTTGAAAAAAAAAGTACAGTAATTCAGATAATTTTAAAACTTTGTTGGCCAATCAAAAACCTCTGGGTTCTAAAACTACTTTATTTTGAATATTGAACTCCTTCCCGCTATATGGCATACACTAGTATACCAAATTAAATTATTAATATATTTTTAAAGAGAAAAACATTAACAATGATGTATAAAAATGTATAGCCATAAATTAGGAGCCCTCCGTGAAAAAAAATAAATTGTAACTTAATCAAAGCTGGCTTTATTAGCTGCAGGGGAAAAAAAATCCAAATATTAGGCCCTACCATCCTAATCTGATTGAAAGCCAAGTGTCACATTTCCTTTCAAGAACCTTCTCATGCAATCGGGGCACTAATGCATAAAGCTGGTCCCATTGCTGCTCTGGCAGCATAGTGGTAACTAGAAAATGTTTAAAGTCACTAGTGAGGTAAACTGGTCAGTCTGTTTTTAGAATTTCAGTGATATACCCAGGGGTGGGTTCTACTTACCTTTATTACTGGTTCGCAATGGGGTTACGTGTGCTCTTCTGCGCATGCGGAGAAGCATTTTGATGATGCTGGGGTCGGTGGGCAGAGCCTCCCACTGGTTTTACTACCAGTTCTATAGAACCGGTGCAAACCGGGGGCAACCCACCACTGGATATACCAAAAGAGCAGATATACCAAAAGAACTCCTCTTTTTTGCCTTCAGGTCAGTGCTGGCACCTGATGACTCTTTAGTCCATGCAGTTTGCCTGGCAGGTTTTTCAGAACTGATTTGCCATTGCCTACTTCCTAGGGCTGAGAGAGATTGACTGGCCCAAGGTTATACACCTGCCTTCATGCCAAAAGTAGTAATAGAACTCACAGTCTTCCAGTTTCTAGCCTGATGGTTTTGAGCTCCATCTACCTTGCAAAATTTCCAACATCAAAACACAGCTAAATAAGATTTTATGATATTTTGAAATCACACCTGGCTGGATTAAAAATATAAAAGGCCTCAGTGAAGTAAGAATAGAATGGGGTTTTTCATAACATGATGGGGTTCTATAAAACTAAGGCAAAAAACCCCCCAATCTGTCACTTGAATATAGGGAAGTTTCTATCACTTGAGTTTGCCTCTTGACCAAAGATTCTGGGAATTTTTTTAAACAACTAGTTCCACTGCCTGAAAAAGTCCAAGAACCCCTGGGTGACAGCCCTATGAGGTAGACCAAACCTGCTGCATTGGAAGGCATGGCTTTATGGAATCTGCAAGGGATTATGATGCTGGTTGTATTCACACAATACACTAATTGTACTTAACCAAATCATGGCTAAATACTACATATTAAATCATTGAGCGCTCTTCTGTTTAGCTATAATGTAGTTTGCATATTTTTGATTTAGTATGAGTACATCCACCCGTTAAGCTTTTTGTGCAAATCATGGTATAAAAATCCTACACTGTATGAAAGTCATGGTGAGATCAGGAGGAAACAGTTACGCTTCATACCCAGAAGTCATACAAGCTGCTTTACACTTGTTTCCCAGGGTTCTTAAGTCTGCAAGAAGCAAAAAATAAATTCTGCATGTACTATGAAATATTCTCCACAAAGTCCTGATCAATATTGGCCATTCAGCCACAAAAGAGACACAAGTATAGTACATGGAATTCCAGATCTGTTGATTAGAACAAAGCCAAAAAGAAATCATGCTACAATAAACAATTGACATATTACTTAAGAAACAACTTAGAGATGATTGGCCACCCCCTACTTATCTTCATTTGGATCAGAATAAATTTACTAGTCTTTATGACAGTGCTTCTTAACATTGAAAATGTGCGGACTTCACTTCCTAGAATTTTTCAGCCAGCAACAACATGGACTACTTAAGGATATGTAAAGAACAGAGGTGGGTTTCAGCAGGTTCTGACCAGTTGTGGAGAATCGGTAGCAGAAATTTTGAGTAGTTCGAAGAACCGGTAGTAAAAATTCTGACTGGCTCCGCCCCAATCTATTCTCTGCCTCCAAAGTCCCAGATGATTGGGAGGAAATGGGGATTTTGCAGTAACCTTCCCTGGAGTGAGGTGGGAATGAAGATTTTGCAGTATCCTTTCCCTGCCACACCCACCAAGCCATGCCCACATAACCAGTAGTAAAAAAATTTGAAACCCACCACTGGTAAAGAACCTATGACTTAACTTATGTATAGGTGAACTTCAGAAAAAAGTATTCTTATTCTCCTATATGATTTGGTATTAGGTATCATACTATTTTAGTATTCTGTTCTTTGCTGCCACCTTCAGACTGATAGGAAATGATACAAAAAATGACTTTAGGCAAGAAGCAAACAGCCAGTAATCCCAGCTCCTGGGGAGGCTAAATTAGCTGGATCAATTGAGCCTAGGAAAAAAGCACGTTCCTAATCAAATATACAATTCTGACAGAAAAATCTAAAGCAGAGCAGGTTGCAGATCCAATCATGCAGTTAATATAACGTCTAGACTAGACAAGGTATAACTTCTGCATGCAGAGCAAAGTAAACAAAAAACAGATAACGTGTCCTTCAAGCTGAATTTGGATCCTTATTGGACATATTAGTGTTGTTTTGTTGGCAACAATATGGTTGTTTCTTGGCTTCTTTTAGAATGTTTTGTCAATTTCCTAGCTGCAAACAGCTGTAAATGTGCGCCGGATGCCAAGAGCACAAAAAATGCAGTTGAGTGATCACATGCATATGTGTGCAACACTTGGAACCGGGTCATAAGTACTTTTTGGAGGGTTTGTCTTCATTTCAAATCACTAAGCAATCAGTTGTTGGTCAAGGATTGCCTATAACTGGGGTCTGCAACCTTAAATACTCAAAAGAGTCATTTGGACCCGTTTCCCACAGAAAAGAAAATACTGGGAGCCACAAACCTGGGTGGGCGTGGCCAACTCGATGCCACTCACTTCCACCAGTCACATGACCTAGCCACGCCTACCCAGCCAGTCATTAGGGCAGAGAACCAGTTGTTAAAAAACACCGGGAACCACAAAATGCTTTTGACATCTCTCTCTATCCCCCTCTATCTCTATCTCTCTCCCCCTCTCTCTGTCTCTGCCCTGGCCGTCCCCCTTACTTTCTCAGACCAGGCGAGGAGTGACTGGGAGGGGAGGGCCAGCCAGTGGTGGGATCACCTGACAGGGAGCCACAGCAGAGGGCCCAAAGAGCCATATGCAGCTCCGGAGCCGCAGGTTGCTGACCCCTGGCCTATACCAATGAAACCCAGCTCCTGAATTGGATTATCTATTGTGGTCCAAAATTGGGTTTCTAGTACAGGTATGGGTTTTTTTTTTAACCAACATGTAGTCCCTTAATTCAGGATAGAGTCGGGGCAACTGGATGAAGCTGAGCATTTACTGGCCAGATGCCCTTCCTGATGCCTATGTGGAGTTTGTAGCAGATATTTTTTCTTTGCGCCTTAAGTGAGAAACATTTGCCACTACCTAGGATTGAAATCTCAACCTTCTGAGTGGGAGGCCACGATGCAACTCATATCTACTACAAGTGTGTATGCTTCAAAAATTATTTGGAAGTAGTTTGGATTTTGCACAAGCACAGTTCTTCCATTATTCATTTCAGTACATTTTAGTTCCACATGTGCCTGAAAAAAAGATGGCAGTTTTAAGACCCATAGTAAGTTTAATCATTCCTAAAAGCAGTCCAAAACACTTATTTTAAATATTTATAATGGTACACAGCAATAATATCTAGGTTATGGCCTTTGACTCTGTTCCCCACTAGAATGTACCTCCCAGAAGGTGACTCAAAAGAAAAATGGCCATTCAGTTAAATACAATTTTAAAGGATTGCTGTCCCAAATACTGAACCTGGCCATGTTTTCTTCTTGAAGGTTATGCATGAAAGCACAAATTAATCATGATTGTGAGAGGAACTTTGGATAGTTAACTTCAGCCTCAGCAGGATAGTGAATCTTCATTTAATATACTATTTAAAAACATTGAAAATAAGCATAAATGATCTTGAAAAAGACATACCCCCTTCTTTTCAAGACGACTACATGGACCTACCCATAAAGTCATCAGAAATCAAGTGTTTAATATTGGTTTTGCATGTAAAAAGTTTTAAGAACTGTGTGGTTGGTATCTGGAGGCAATCTAATGTGCTATTTTTCACACCTGAAGCTCTTTATGGTTCAGAACCTGATATCAAGATAACCTGCTCTCAGTACTCTTTCTCCACTCAATTATATTAGGAAGAATGTATCTATCCCCTTTCTCTGGAACAGCATATTTCCAGAGGTTTGACTTCCTTCAATAATTGCCACAGGATTTATTTCAGTAATCCTCTAGGGCAGGTGAATTGAGATTCTTCCTAAATATACACGAGTAAAAAAATATAAACGGGTAAAATAAAGCTATAAAATGCTTTATTTTGTTATTTTTCTGTTACATTCATAGATGTTAATTTGTTTTTTTTTTTTTTTAATTTGGATTCTGTTTACCCACAGCAGGTTAAAAGCTGCTTTGAATCAGTGATTGGACCAGAATATAAACCAAGTAAATGTTAGCCTTGGAAGAAATAGACAGTCTGGAAGGTTGAGAAGAGCAGCAGCTGGACTTGGTCTGTAGATTCCCCAGCCTAGCAAACCTTTGGAAGTCATGTTTCATTTATGTTCAGGTCCAAGTTAGAAAACAATTAAAAATGCGAGCTAATAAGTATTGCAGTACGAATAAAATACAGTTTCCAAGTTTTTTAAAAAAATATTTTCAAGTGTTAGGTGTGTTGGAAGAAATAGGGTGGGTGCTAATTTCCTACACGTGTACCTATAAAAGTTGGTATTTTTCATCGTTATTTGCGAATGTCTCCTGCTTGTTCAAGAAAAATAACACTATGCTAAACTAAAAATATATAATACGCTTAAAGCAGTATGCAGTACTAATCTCTCTCCCCAAATAGTTGCACAGGATTTGCAAAAAACCAACCAAAAAAAAAAACCCACCCCGATTTCTAGGTTGCCGCATGAATAGCTGAATTTCGGCTCTCCTAGCTCCCAAAACTTCGTGCAAATACACGTAAAGATCCACGATATAACACAGAGCTCAGATCCCAAAAGCCGCATAATCACCTAGTAGTGGAACTAGTCGTTTTGGCTCCGCCTTCCTCCGCGAAATAAAGAAGTTTGGTCCCGCCGTCTCGCCATAGTTCCGTAATCCGGCGCGCAGGCGTGCGGCCCGGTCGCCTCCTATCGTAGGAGCGCCTGGGAACTGCTATAGGGAAGCCGTGTAGACGGAGCGGGGCTCCTTTCCGTCCACCATGAAGTCCCGTTTCAGCACGGTCGATATCAGGGCGGTTATAGCCGAACTGCGCCACAGGTACGGCCTTCGGATGTCTTTCGAAGCCACGCCCCGATGACTGCCGGCCCCGCCCAATAATCCCTTTGGGATACGCCCCTCCCCCCTCAACCGGTAGCTTCCAAGCAAGCGGTCCCTGTTTTTAGCTTTCCCGGCTTTTGGTTGGTTGGTGATGGCTGTTGGCGGAAGTCCGCTCTGTGCCTTCAGATGGTTTCAGGCGCCCCTTCTCCCAGTCTGAACTATTACTAAGCTAATTTGCTTAGTTTGGGAACTATTATTTAAAATTAAGTAAACAATAGTGTTGATATAAAGCAGGGGTCCTTAAACTTGGCCGCTTTAAGACTTGTGGACTTCAACTCCCAGAATTCTCCAGCCAGCACAGCTGGCTGGAGAATTCTGGGAGTTGAAGTCCACAAGTCTTAAAGCGGCCAAGTTTGAAGACCTCTGATATAAAGTCTCCTTCAATTTGAGCTTGATTGTTGCACTAATTTGGAAATGGCTTGTCATCGCCTTTCTTGGGCGTAATTTGTTGACCTCCCACTTAGCCTACAGCCCTGGGATTTCCTTATGGTCTCCCTTCCAAGTACTGACCATGCCTGTCCATGCTGCCATCTAACTGAATACAGGTAGTCCTCGATTTAAATAGTTTGGCAACTGTTCGAAGTTACTATGGTACTGAAAAAAAGGACTTATGACCATTTTCACACTTATGACCGTTGCAGTATCCCCATGGTCATCATGTGATTTACATTCAGATGCTTGACAACTGGTTCATATTTATGACGCTTGCAATGTCATGGGATCACCTTTTGCGACATTTTCTGATAAGCAACATCAATGGAGAAGCCAGAGTCACTTAACCGTGTTCGTAATTTTACAACTGCAGCGATTCACTTAACAAATGTGGCAAGAAAAGTCGTAAAATGGGGCAAAACTCACAAGAAATTTCTCACTTAGCAACATAAATTCTGGGCTTAATTGTGGTCATAAATCAAAGACCACCTGTATGAGGTGTAAGTTAAGTGCATGAAATCAGGTTTATCCTACTGAGTACATGGATAAATGTTTGCTGTGTCATCTTTTGTAATAATTTGCTAAAGAGTTTATAAAAAAATTACTTTTTTTCCATAATTTTATCAGAAATATATAGAGATCTAATTTTTTTTCTTTTCTTTTTACAGCTTGTTGGTCATTTTACCCACCTTAGAAAGGATGGAAGGCTGAGTCGACCTTGAGCCTGGTAAGAATTGAACTCGCAGTAATTGCAGGTAGCTGGATGTTAAATGCTGCCTTAGTAGAAGGCATTAGCCTCCTATGCCACTCAGCCTTGCAAAACGGTGAGAAAATTGAAGCTAATAATTGTTGATTTTCCTTTTGTAAATATCAGTTTGCTTGGCAGAATTTGTTTTGGGACCAACCAGATACATAGTTGGTGTTTTGCAAGATTGATAACAACAAGGCAGTTGTCTTTTCTCTGACTTAATTAGAAATTCTGCTAGTTTACTTACTTACTTACTTACTTACTTACTTACTTACTTACTTACTTACTTATTTATTTATTTATTTATTTATTTATTTATTTATTTATTTAATTTGTATACCGCCCTTCTCCAACAGGACTCAGGGTGGTGAATAGCCACGGTAAAAACACAACATATAAAATTTAAAAACAATTTAAAAAACATTAAATACTTTTGGCCATCAATTTAAAATAACCCAATTAAAACCAATTATAAATTTAAAACCGTAAGGATGGGGTCAAGCCAGCCCGGCTAGATGGAATAGATGTGTTTTCAGGGCCTGACGAAAAGTCCGGAGATCTGGTATTGTGCGTATCTCTGGGGGTAGGTTGTTCCAGAGGGCAGGTGCCGCCACAGAGAAGGCTCTCCCCCTGGGGGTCGCCAGCCAACATTGTCTGGCCGATGGCACCCTGAGGAGGCCCTCTTTGTGTGAGCGAACTGGCCGGTGGGAGGCTATTGGCGGTAGAAGGCGGTCTCGTAAATACCCCGGCCCTAAGCCATGGAGCGCTTTAAAGGTGGTCACCAACACCTTGAAGAGCACCCGGAAGACCACAGGAAGCCAGTGCAGCTCTCGCAGGAGAGGTGTCACATGGGAGTGCCCCGTCGCTCCCATAATCCCCCGCCCGGCCGCATTCTGGACCAACTGGAGCCTCCGGGTGCACCCCAAGGGGAGCCCCATGTAGGGAGCCCCATCAAGAGTAGCCCCATCAAGAGTAGAAGGATGAATAACAGGGATTGAAAAATGATTTTACACATATGTCTTATGGTCTTAAAAAGACCACATCATGTGATCAAAATTTAGATGCTTGGCAACTGGTTCATATTTGTGACGGTTGCAGTGACCTGGGGTCATGCAATCATCTTCTGACAAGCAAAGTCAATGGGGAAGCCAGATTCACTTAACAACCGTATCACTAACAACAATTTCAGTGATTCAATTAACAACTGTGGCAAGAAAAGTTGTAAAATAGGGCAAAACTCACTGAACAAATGTTTCACTTAACAATGGAAATGTTGGGCTCTATTGTGGTCATAAATCGAGGACTACCTGTAATTCCATTTAATTCAATAAAGTTTAGTTTAGAGTACATTTGTTTACAAATACTTCCCAATAAAACATGGTTTGTAGTTTCATCATCCTCATAATTACATGGTATTTTCTAAGTACACAAATTGGGAACTCATAAGTGTCCTATTTTGATTCAGCATCTATTCTGTTACTCAGTCTCTGGATTAAGGCAGGGAAGGATCTTTTCCATCGTTATTACTTCATCATTTTGTCTGTCCATGTTAGAGATTGAACCTGGGGCCTTCAAAATGCAAAGTATATGCACAACTGCTGAACTGTGCACTTTCCCATTAGTGTAACTTCAATATGATATTAACATTCTTTCTTAAAGTGAACTGAATTGTGAGACTGGCCATTTGAATTCATAGCTGAGTTCAGGCCATACCATTTCTTAGAGTAGGGGTGGACAATGTGACCTCCTGGAGATACCATATTTTATCAGTTGTAGCCAGCATGACCAATGTTGAAAGATGATGGGAGTTGCAATATCTGTAGACCAAATTTGCCATGCATTACAGAGAATTTCATGTACTTTTTAGCTTGATACTATGTTGGCTTCTACTGTCAAATGCAAAGAAGTCTTTCATAGTAATATGACAGACTATTAATAATCATTTTATTTTATTTAATAACAAATACACTATCCTCATCCAAGGGCAGGAAGATAATATGTGGCTAAACTATAATTCATCCAAGTTATTTCCGTGAAAATTGAAGTTTTTGATGGTCTTGTTCTTATGTTCTTATATATGGAAAGGTTGCCAACTCTGTTCTGATCGAATGCACATTACTCTACCATTGTTTTAAGACTTCTTTGTTCTCTTTTCATCAACAGTGTCGCAAACATTTGAAGTCCAGAAGGCTTGTGAGTGTGAAGCAACTTGGCATTGACAGAATAGTCGATTTCCAATTTGGGAGTGATGAAGCAGCATATCATTTGATTATAGAGCTTTATGACAGAGTAAGTAGAGAAAGAATGTCTGAGACAGGGGCCTGGGGATAGTCTCTTTCCTCTACATGCCTTCCTAAAAAAAGGTGTTGTTTTTTTTCCCAAAAGTCTCATTTGGTAAATACTCCACCTTGGTTCCTATCAGATGTTCGGTTGGGATGAGCTCACAGAATATTTAGACATGGCTGTAGTGGTGGTGAATTAGAAACCTAACATTCCAATCAGGGGTCCTTGGTGCTCTCTGAGCTTGGTTGTTTTTTTTGCAGATGTTTCATCATCGAAATTAGGTAACATCATCAGTGCTAGAAGAGAGTGGGATTTGGATCATTTTATATACTAGAGCTGTGATGGCGAACCTATGGCACACGTGCCACAGGTGGCACGCAGAGCCATATTGGTGGGCATGTGAGCGTTGCCCTAGCTCAGCTCCGGTGAGGCTGAGGAGAGCGAAAAATGGGCCTTCTGGTCCCACCGGAAGTCGGGAAATGGGCCATTTCCAGCCTCCGGAGGGCCTCTGGAGCCTGGGGAGAGCAAAAACGGGCCTACTGGGTCCACCGTGCCATCATGTGCCAAAAGTGGGGGGAGCATGGGGGGGGTGCCGCCCGCTTTGCTGGGGGGCACATTGAATTATGGGTGTGGGCACGTGTGCGCGTGACCCCCTCGCGCGACCCCCACTTTTGGCGCATGACGGCAAAAAGGTTAGCCATCATTGTACTAAAGCTTGTCCTGTCAATGTTGGTGGGAGTGGCCTTGGTGGTTATTTGGATGAGCTGTTTACTGTTAGCTTGCTGGACAGTTCATTGATTGCAGTATTGTTTGCTTCTTGATTGTTGGCTTAATGTTAATCTTGGTGTTAACCTCTGCTCATCTTAAAATTCAGATCTCTGAAGGATGCCAAGATTGGGAAGAAGGCATATATGACGTTCTATTTCCTCATGTCTTCTGATGCTATCATGGCCTATGGAGCTGATTCTTGCCATTGTTGAAAAAGAAACTTGGGAAGGAGATCCCTTCATGTCATGTCTTCCCTAACTCTGAAAGATTTCTCTTTTCATCATATCCTCATTTATTTAGGGCTTCCAAATTAACTTCTGGTGCTGTCTGTTTTTCAAATTTTCTTACAGTATTTTGGAAATTTCCAGAGACTTTACCTGAATATCCCCTCTAGTTTGCGCAGGGGAAAATACACAGATCAAAATCTGAGGTTCTGTGGAAAAAGTTTCAGATCTGCATTTTAATGACAAACTGCTCTGAATCTGTTGCAGGGCAATATTGTTCTTACTGACCACGAGTACCTTATTTTGAATATCCTGAGATTTCGCACAGATGATGCAGATGATGTCAAGTTTGCAGTGCGGGAACATTATCCAGTTGATCATGTCAAAACTGCAACATCATTGCCCAGTTTAGAAAGGTATTATTATATTTTATACAGAGCTTACAATTGGGGCAAACTCAAGTTTTAAGAGATAAGCGTAAATTATGTGTTGTAAGAGACCTAGTGGCTGGAGGTAGGAAATTTTTGCTTACATCTTTTTTTGTCATTTTGCATTTTTGTTTGTAAGTAGTATGATAGGTTTTTATAGTACTTCTAATTTTATCATAAAAAAGAATCTTTGCCACCAGAAACTTGTGATTAGAATATGTTAAGGAGTATTTTGATAAAATAATGTACCTTTTCAAAAGGATATTTCTGGCCCTAAAAAAGTAAAGACAGCCTTATGGTTTGCAGTGAGAGAAATAGTATTGTAGAATGAAATAGTAATATTTAGTTCTCCTAAGATATTTTTTCTTTGCTACAAGTTTGATTAGCTCATTTTACAATAGGAAAAGCAAATAAATATTTTAAAGAACACAGAATGAAACTACTTCTAAATGAAAAATCTTGGGCCATATTAAAAGATTTACAAATAGACTGCAGATGTATGCATTGGAGTCTGCTTTATTAGATCCATGAAATAACAGTATTTGTCTTGAGTTAGGCTGTATTTAACAATGGCAGTTGTACAGGAAGTTATTTTTGATCTGTTATGCAAATCCTGTACATTATCTAGGTTTGGGTATAATTTGAATAATCTGTTTTTTAAAATGATTGATACCTTCTGAGCAGAGAAAACGTTCCTTGTTTAGCTTTATTGTATATGTTAACAGTATATTATCAGTATTTATTCTTTTTTATTATTTCTTCACTCCTTTCGTAGGTTAACAGAATTAATAACAAGCGCACCTAAAGGAGATCAACTAAAGAGAGTCCTAAATCCTCACCTTCGTAAGTATCAATTTCTTCTATTTTTAAAGAAAATTACAAGGTGATTTGATTATATGTTTTTTGAGGATATGAAATAACAGATATGTATAAATCAAAAAGTTCAACTCTATTTTGAGAATTCTCATTTTAAACTTATTTTTAAAATAATCAAAGTCGTCCCTCTTAAAAAATAGCATTTCTAGTAAATGATGTGGAAGAAGCCACACAGTTTTCCCTCAAATTTGGGCTTTTTAAAAAATAACTATTATCTTTTTTTTCCCCTCCCCCAAAAAATACAGCTTATGGGATCACTCTGATTGAACATTGCCTTATAGAAGCAGGATTTTCAGGTAGCATCAAAGTAGAGCAGATAGAAAGTAAAGGTAGGTACTGAAATATTTGAATGTGTTAATGTCTGACATAATTTCCTGTGTACTATAATATTATGTAATAGTTATTTAAAAACTTATTTCCCTTTTTTAAAAAAATCTTGATCTTGGGGTTCATGCAATTTTCTGGGCAGCCTGTTCTCTGACAGTCCCAACATAGAGAGGATATACTGTGCCACAGCAAGAATGTGCAGTTTTATACATCTTGAGTTTCAACACTTATTTCTTCTTCTAGATATTGAAAAGGTACTAGCCGCTTTACAAAAAGCTGAAGACTGCATGGAAGAAACCGAGAACTTTAATGCCAAGGTAGTTTATAATTTGGGGACAAATGCTTTGGTTTTTATACCTGGCACAGTCCATGGATTTAAAGCATTTCTAGCTTTACAGCAACACAACTGCTCAGGGGGAGATACCTTGAGTCTTTCTAGTTAAGAACCAAAGCTGCCGACGGCTCTTTTGGAAATACTATATCAACAAAAGAAGCTGGGGAGGTGAAGTGAGGGAAATTTGGCCTTCAATACCACAGATGCTGTAACGAATATTATGCAGAGGAATTCCACATTGAGTTTTCTGTTGCTTCATGCCATTTCTTAATTCTTTTCCCAAGAAATTCTGGCTTTGGGCTTACTACCTTGAGGCCACGTTGCTAATGTTTATGTCGTATTTCAGTATTCTCTGGATGCAAAGTGGCTAGCAGAAAAACCAAACTGTAAAAGAGAACAGCAACAAAAAGCCTCATTAATTGAACTGAAGACCTGCAAGTGGCTAAAGAGATATATACTCTTACATTTCCAGCAGTAGAAAATAGATGTAATGCATAAGGATTTTCCTTTCCCTCCATCTTTTTAATAGGGCTACATCATCCAAAAAAGGGAGAAAAAACCAAGTCTGGAACCAAACAAGTCTCCTGAAGAAATCCTCACGTATGTATTTTGAGAGAAATGGGTTTTGTGACTGTGCTGTGCTCTGGTAGTCAGCAAACACCAATGCCAAGCATTTCTTTCAGGTATGAGGAATTTCACCCTTTCTTGTTTTCACAACATTCAAAATGTCCCTACGTGGAATTTGAATCTTTCAACAAGGTACAGTGCTATGCTCGGTCCTGGATGTTATATGTCATTTTTATCATATCAAGGGCTGGAAATGTAATTAATTCCACCGAACAAGAATTCTTCCTTATATTTGTTAATGAGAATGATTTGGTTATCTTCTTGAACAATTAAAGAGAACATTAAGATTTTGAATTATTGATCTTGAGAGAACTTTACTCAGCTTTTGGGGGTAGTTAACTTTTGTGGCAAAGCTGATCCGAATGAAATCTGCACAAAGAAGTGCCTTTACTGAGGCAAACTTTGGGTCTGAAATTTGTTTTGCAAATTTCCAGTGGACATTCTAAGTAGATCTAAGTAAGGTGTACTGGTGCAATCAAATATTCTAACTTCCTTTTTCTTGTTATGTTTTGTGTTTCTTTATGGTTTTGGAAGGCAGTGGATGAATTTTACTCTAAGCTGGAAAGTCAGAAGATAGACTTAAAGGCATTGCAACAGGTACTCATCTTGTGAAAAAGTTAAAGTCTTGAACTATGTTTTTCTGAAAAATGGGCACTCTAGTTCACCTGGGAAGAATTATATTACAATCTAGCCAAGGGGTGTCAAACTCATGTCATCACGGTGGCATCACGTGACATATCTGGACTTTCTCCCCCATTGCTAAACTGGGTGTGGGCATGGCCAATGCGTGATGCATCTGGCCTGCGTGCCGGGAGTTTGACAGTCCTGATCTAGCCAATAAGCCAAGTTCTCGCTTGTCTGGAGAAGCAATGATGAAGCTTTCGTTCATCATTAGACCAGAATGGTAACCAATAACAGCTAGTTTGCTAAGTTGAACAACCTGGAATCTATTTTACTTGATCCTAAATTACTATTACGGAAATTTTATATTCCTATATATATATGCTCTGTTAATTCTTTTATGCTACTGTAGTTTTAGGAGGAAAATTCTCATTTCCATTTTTTACTCATGGCTATTTTGGTTTTAGAAAATGACAAGTTTAACCTCCATATATTTTTTTCCTTCTTGTTCTTTTACATTTGAATTTTCCTCTGCTTTTTCATTGTAATTCTGGTATGTCCTCAGAATTACTCCACCTGAAAAGATTAAGTCTCTCAGATGAAGCTCCAGTAAGACTGAGCATGCACAAGTATATATTTTTTAATTCTTTCCATACTGCTCAAGAGTTTTGTTAAGTGCCTATATGTTCTGTCCCAGCTCCGGATTTCCGAGGATATTGACACACACTAACGGTCCTTATCAAATTTATTAAGTAGCAAGAATAAACCAAAGTCCGGCAAAGGTTGGCAACCAGCCCAGAAAGCAAGATAAGACTTTTCCAAAAATGCTCTGATGATAATTACAAGTTGTTTCTAGCAAGAAACTTACTAACTGCGTGTGACTTAAATAGGCTAAGGGAGTGGCTAATTATCCTCAAGCCTTACTCTTGAGGAGACCTCCTCCTCCTGAGTAGACACTCCTGCCTTTTGGCAGCCCTGCGTGCTTCAGCATTGAGGGGAGGCTCCTCCACTTCGCTCTCTCCACTTGAAGGAGCCTCTGGAGGTTCTGAAGGTCCTGGCTGAGTCTCTGGCTCTGGCACCACATCCTCTTCAGCCTCCTCGCTGTCCGACGCAAGCGCTGGCTGCACAGGCTGCTGGCGCAACACCACACCCGCCTCCTCGTCATCGGGATCAGCCACGATCCATGCAGGCCGCTGGCGGGCCACAACACTATATCGCAAAAAGTATTCTGAATCCTTGCGTCTAACATTATCTTAATTATTGTTAATTTTGACCATTAAATCTCATCAAGATGGTCATTCTGTCATTGTTTCTATGATTTCCTCTCCTTTGTTTGCATTATTATATATCTATGTCTCTCTCTCTCTCTCTCTCTCTCTCTGTATGTATGTATACAGTGAGGAGGCCTATACTACACTCTTCCCAATTTCAGAATTTAAAATAAACTAACATTGTGTTTTGCCCTCTGTTCAAATATTGCCATTGCCTTCACTCCTTCTCATTTTACATTTCACTTCCTCTGTCTATGTTAGGAGAAGGCTCAAATGAGTATGTTACTTCTCCCACTTCTGTGTTTTTTCTTGAAAGGAAAAACAAGCACTGAAGAAGCTGGAAAATGTGCGGAAGGACCACGAATACAGATTAGAAGCTCTTCATCAAGCTCAGGTAGAAACATTGCTTCCTTTTAAGTTCAGTGGAATATGCAGCATTATTGCACAATCTCAGATGGTCTTGTTGTTCAAGGAATTCTAGCCTAGTTTCTGTAAAATAATGTGTTCATGCTGGAATAAATCTTAAAATTATGATGGGGAAGAAAGGTAATGCTAGCTGGCATGGAAATGCTGGGCTAAATGAGCAAACAATTTACTGTGGCTTCAGCTTCAAATATTCGGAAGAACATCTGGGTGTACATCTTTTTTGTGTGTTTCTGTCATGTTTGTATTTTCACTGAAACACACACACACTCCTTCTCCTCAGAACTATTACTGGTAGAATGACCATGTAGTCATGCATAGTGGCTTTCTACAGCAGACAGCTAAATATCTCTGCAGATTGTAAACCACTGAGAATTTTATGAATGAGGATTTGATGATACATGTAATCAATAAATCTGCCAGCTTTAACCTTGATCTAGGGACGGCCTATTTTTCAGAAAGATCAATTGTGATCAGGAGTGCACCCACTTCTCAGTTTATTAAATCGGGCATAGCTATTTTATTTTTCCAGATAAACAAAACCCTTTTTTGCACCTTGATCTACACAATTGCAATACCTGTCTTTCTTTCCCCTCCCTCAACCTCCCCCCTTTTTAAATCCCATAATTTGTTATTTCAGTTCACCAGTTATTTTTGAAGAATGGTTTTCTATCAATTCTTGACAATTTACTTGTGTTCCTGTAGCACAATACTCATAGCATAACCAACATCCAAATACTAAGTCTCAGTACATACAGCTCTGAAGTCTTTAGCAAGTTCTAATTTTTTTATCTTTGTGATAAAGGGAAAAGCGGGGTCTCAACAGTTACTGTCTCCTTTACTTTCCAAAGGAAATTGACAAGGTGAAAGGTGAGCTTGTGGAAATGAACCTGGAGATAGTCGATCGAGCCATTCAGGTGGTCCGCAGTGCCTTAGCCAACCAGATTGATTGGACAGAGATTGGAGTCATTGTCAAAGAAGCCCAGGCCCAAGGAGACCCAGTAGCAAGTGCCATCAAAGAACTGAAGCTGCAGACAAACCATATCACAATGCTCCTAAAGTAAGTTACCAAGCAGATGAGAGGAGTGTCCTGGAATGGAGCCAAAGCTTTTGCCTATCAAGGCAATATTGTATTTCCATATAATGAAAGCGAATCTGTTGACATCCAGATATTAGCCTTCAGTTCTCATCAAGATCAGTTAGAATGATCATACCTTAGGGATCTTGGGAGATGTAGCCCAGTAATTTCAAGATCAGGAATAGGTGACGATTGTTAAATTGAAATTATAGTTGTAGAACTCACCATTCTGAAAATGGCTGTGTTAACTTTAAAAAAAAACAAAAAACTTCCAACCTTTAAAGCTATATGGAAATAAAAGGTCAAGACAAAAACAAACCCAGACAAAAAAATAATAATCATTAACTTGTGTTAACCATGCAAAATTTTACTGTATATCTTCAGAAATATAGAACAGAACCAGAATGAAAAATGGTGATCAAATTTACTCCGTTATCCTCCTGAATATGAAATACATTAATTATTTAAAATTATTATTAAAAGAGATGCTTCTGGTCAGCAAAACAGTTTTTTTTTTTTTGGATTAGAAACCCGTATGTGATCTCAGAAGAGGAGGAGGACGAGGATGACGAGGAGGAAAAACCTAAAATAGAAGAATCAAAGGGAAAGAAAAAGAAGAAGAAAGTCAAACAACTCCAGAAGCCTCTGAAGAATCAGCCTATGCTGGTGGATGTGGATCTCAGCTTGTCAGCTTACGCAAATGCCAAAAAGTAAGAAAAGGGTAAGAATTGGCTGGCATACCTTTAAAAGCGGGGCCTTTTGGATGGATTGGTTGAAGAACTAAAGTGAGACCACGGTTAGCGTTCCATTTAAATCCGCTATTTTCTTCCCAATGTTAATCAAATCATGCAAGATGGGCAAATATGATCGCTTGAAATGTGCTCTTAATTTGGAGAGGATTGGCCTAGAGATATGACATGCTTTCATGTTTCTCAGATATTACGATCACAAGAGACACGCAGCCAGAAAAACCCAGAAAACGGTGGAAGCAGCAGAAAAGGTACATTGGTGGCTTTCTTGCTTTCATCGCTTATGGAAAAAGAAATTAGAACAGCACCCTTCATAATCTCTACTTAGACTGATACAGTTTCAGTTTTCCTGAAGCTCTGTGCCATTGACTTAACCAGCTGCCCCATTTTTATGTAGTGGCACATTGATCATGCTGAAGGAGATGGATTTGCAAAATTATTTAGTTCACTGGAACTACTGTCAAGCAGTGGTTAAAATCAAGAGGTTTAAAGCTTAACTTGGGTTAAATCAGGAATATCTACGCTTGTTTGGCTGGTTGATGCATTTGGTGGGTTGCTATTGCAGTAAGTGTGGCCCATCATCGGACACTCCTTTACCAGAAGGCCTATTAGTGAGAATGCTCCACATTTATTCACTAGCCTTCCAAGATATAGTCTTCCATTTCCCATTTTATCTTTCTTTTTTTTCCTGAGCAGATGGGTGCATTTTTAAGCAAAGCACTGACTTGAAACTGGTTCTCATTTTTATCATGTAGCATACTTTTGAGCCTTTTTGGAGTCAAGGGATTGTCTTGGAAATAAAGATAATGCTGGAGGTTTTTCTTTTCCAGCATGCAGCTTTGTTAATCACATGACCCTTCAAAATTAATTAACAGGACTGGTAGAACTGTTAGTGGATTCATAGATGCCCATAGACATCATGTTGCAAATTCAACATATAAGTTGTCCGAGAGGAGAGCTTGTTCTAAAATATAGGCAGACTCACAAAGGTGATCGAAAATACTGTTAGTGTAGCAGCATTAGGGTCTAAGGAAATTCAGAAAAATAACCTGGATTGCAGTTAGTAGGAGAATAATACATTGGTATTATTCTAGAAGAAGAAGAAGAAGATGGCTATTTTTTAGACAGCTTTGTTTGATTCACGTTCCAAATTATTGCTGGATGTAGATTGTGTTGCTTCTTTAAAAGACGAACTGTGGTGGATGGTTTTGTTTTGTTCATCTATACAGGCTTTCAAATCAGCAGAAAAGAAGACCAAGCAAACACTGAAAGAGGTCCAAACAGTTACTACCATTCAGAAGGCTAGAAAGGTTTACTGGTGAGTTTCTAAAATACGATTCTGCACTAATCCTTTTGTTCCACTTTTTCATCTGAGAGTGAGATTGGGGTTAGTAAATGGTGGGCTAAATGTTCCTTACACTGAAGACCTTCTAAGAATCCCTTCTATCAATATTATCCTTTGGCTTGTTGTAATCCGACAGGTTTGAGAAATTCCTGTGGTTCATTAGCTCTGAAAATTACCTTATTATAGCTGGAAGAGACCAACAACAAAATGAAATGATTGTCAAGCGATACTTAAAGTCAGGTGAGTGACTTGGTTCACATTAACGCAGAGTACTAATGAATACCCTTAACTTGTATATAATCCTGTGTGATGTTTAAGTATTTATTTAAGTGTGTTAATGTTGTTCCTTTCTGTGGTATCAACTTGATGTGTAATTAATATCATTAGGTAATGATCATTTGCTGTTCAGTGTTTATTATTTGTCGTAGTTTAGAGAACAAGGAAGAAACAAAGGACATGTCATGCAAATGTAAAGCCATTGAATAAAGTGGATCACATAAGATTACAGTCATATTAATAATGTTGTGTGATTTTCTGCTAATTGTGGCACTCCGGATGGGGTTAGTGGAATAGCAATGCAGTGGAATAGTATTTTTTATAGGGTGGAAAACACACAGATTATGTAATACCTTTAGTGTTACAGTATATCTTCTTAGAACTAAGCCAGAGAATGCATAGTTTCATGTTCTGCCCCAGCTACGGACCCCAAAGAACGCAACACACACAAACTCTATACAAAGCTTATTTTACTCAAATAACTTAGTCTTTATCATTCAAAGGCTGTTAATGAACTGTCTTAACAGCCTACCAGAATTCTAAGTTAAGGTAATCACAGTCTTACTAGAGTTGGCAGAAAGCCCAGAAGCAATTTTGCAGACACAAAAGAGAGTGAACTAAAGTTGTTCTCTACAGCTTGCTGCAAGCGGTGTTCCTCCTTAAATAGGCTAAAGGAGTGGCCAATTAGCCCCAAACCTTACTCTCGAGGAGACCTCCTCCTGAGGAGCCACTCCTGCCTTTTGGCAGCTCTGCGCGCCCTTGCATTGAGAAGAGGCTCCTCCTCTTCGTCCTCTTCACTTAAAGGAGCATCTGGAAGTTCTGAAGGCCCTGGCTGAATCCCTGCCTCTGGCACCACATCTTCTCCAGGCTCCTCACTGTCCGACTCGAGCGCCAGCTGCACAGGCTGCTGGTGCAGCACCACACCAGCCTCCTCATTGTCGGAATCAGCTACAATCTTCACAGGCCGCTGACGGGCCACAACACCTTCAGTCAGTACATGTTTTTATCCTATCCTCATACCTGATCTTTCCTGTTTCTTCCATATAGGGGACCTTTACGTCCATGCTGATCTCCATGGAGCAACCAGTTGTGTCATTAAGAATCCATCAGGTAATGGTTTTAGGGAACAGTGTTTAGAGCAGTGGTCTCCAACCTTCCTGGCTTTGCAGATCTGTGGGGGTGGTAGAGGGGAGGATGGTTCCATGCGAGCGGTGGCTGAGCGTGCACAACTCCATTTGCGCAAGCGGTGGGCACGTGTACCCGCTGCTCGCACAAAAAGAACTACACACGTGCTTGCCTGCTGCACGTGCAAGTGGTACTACACACACACACACACACACACACGCCACTTCCGTGGCCCGGATCTGACTGGGTCGTGGTCTGGTAGTGGGCCGCATCCTGGGGGTTGGGCAGCCTGGTTTAGGGAAAAGGGCCCATTAAAGATTAGGAACTCTTAACTGCTTTCAAAATCTTTTGGGTAACTGTTAATGCATACATTGGGGCAATAGGTTGTAGGCTAAAGCAGGGGTCTCCAACCTCGGCAACTTTAAGCTTTGCTGGCTGGGGAACTCTGGGAGTTGAAGTCCACCAGGCTTAAAGTTGCCGAGGTTGGAGACCCTTGGGCTAAAGGATTGTTTTAAACTGGTCTATTTTTTTTTTTTTGTAAGTTTAGAAATGGAGAGGACAGATTGTTAATTAAGAGATAGAGATTCATTCAATGAATCTCTTGTTTAGCAAGATGGCATTCCTGATTGAGATTGTCCAACAAGTAATTTCTTTAAAAAGCATGCTTGTACTCCTGAGAGTCATCCTTGGTTGCATTAGAGTTGATACAAATTGAACTTAAATTCTGTTTCCTTCATCAATGATACATGTAATTGAAAAAACTTATCTTCTCTGAGAAGCCTGCTACATTCAGAGCTTTTGTATGTTCCTAACTTTTGGAGCATGGACTCAAATGATCAGGAAACATCAAGTTCCTAATGGGGCAGCTTCCCCCCCCTACATTCCAAATGACGGGAATTGTACACAAACACATTTGAAGAGTATCAGGATAGGGAAAGCTGAAAGGAGGTGACATTTTCTTTATCCTATTATTTCCAGATGTTCTTTCTGACAAAATCAGTGCCACTTTGTACAATGTATGTGCGCTCTTAAAAAAACCCTCTTGAATATCAGTTACTAGAGGACACTGGTAGGAGTTGGGTGTTGTATATTGCTTATTGAGTGCCCCTGAAGCATAAGGTTTTCATCCAAGTGTGTTCATCATCCTCTAAGATAGGATAGCATGCAAAGATTATGTTAAACCGGGGGCAATATTCCAGACCATTTGCTGTGGTCAAAAACAAGACCAAAACAAAAAGACAATGGCATGGCCTTTTCAGGATGCCACTTTTTCAGACTTATCATGGATTTTAGAATATCCATGATTTGTTGTTGTTAGTTGTGAAGTCGTGTCCTACCTATTGTGACCCCATGGACAACGTTCCTCCAGGCCTTCCTCTCTTCTACCATCCTCTGGAATCCATTTAAACCAGAGGTTTTCAAATTTGGCAGCTTTAAGACTTGCTATGCTGGCTGGAGAATTCTGGGAGTTGAAGTCCAAAAGTCTTAAAGCTGCCAAGTTTGGGGACTCCTGATTTAAGCTCATGCCAACTGCTTCAGTGACTCTATCCAGCCACCTCATTCTCTGTTGTCCTCTTCTTCTTTTGCCCTCAATCTTTCCCAGCATTAGGCTCTTCTCCAATGAGTCCTTCTTATAGGTAGCCAAAGTATTTGAGTTTCATCTTCAGGATCTGGCCTTCTAAAGAGCAGTCAGGGTTGATCTCCTCTAGGACTGACTGGTTTGATCGTCTTGCAGTCCAAGCGATCACAGGAGTCTTCTCCAGCACCATAGTTCAAGAGGCTTCAATTCTTTGATGCTCAGCCTTTCTTATGGTCCAACTTTCACAGCCATACATTGCAACTGGGAAATATCCATGATAGAAGCACCTAAATCAGTGGTTCTCAACCTGTGGGTCGGGACCCCTTTGGGGGTCGAACGACCCTTTCACAGGGGTCGCCTAAGACCATCGGAAAACACATATTTTCAATGGTCAATGGAATAATTTTATGGTTGGGGGTCACCACAACACGAGGAACTGTATAAAGGGTCGCGGCATTAGGAAGGTTGAGACCCACTGACCTAAATGTTCCTTGTCTCAAATATGATCAAATAATGGGCTCCGTGTTCTAGGTTTATTTTCTGTTCTGCTTTCCAGAAGGCAGATTTCCCCAGTCAAATTACTGTCTTATTTATTTATTTTTTACTGCAGTTTAAAAACAAGTGCAGTTTCTAGCACATGTTCCTCAATCCCCCCCCTTCCACTTCCTCACTATTGAGGGATTTAGCACAAAGAAAAGTTAAAAGTCAAGTTGGTGATGAAATTCTGTAATAATGGCCAGTTTTTGCTTTTGCTGTTTCAGGAGATCGTATCCCTCCACGGACACTCACTGAGGCAGGCACAATGGCCCTGTGTTACAGCGCAGCCTGGGATGCTCGGGTCATCACTAGTGCCTGGTGGGTCTACCATAATCAGGTAATGAGGTCATTGGAAACTTCCCTATCTAAGGGTCTGGCTTAGTTTTAAGAAATGAAACATTTTACTGGGGATTTTACAGATGCCTTGTTTTGGAACCTAACAAAAATATTTTTTAACACTGAATAATTGCAAGACTACTATGACTTCCCACAATAATCGCTTTTACAGCTTGTGGCTTTTTTGGGTTCTAGTTCTTTATCATGCATTCCTGCTCTCCTGTGCTGGCATGCAGATCTAGTCAAGGCTACTTCTGGCTTTTCGGTACCGTCCTGGTTAAATTTATTTGTGCTCTTCCTGTTACACAAGGAATTTGCTTCATTTTCCTATTTCACAGACAAGAGGATTGTGCATCTAAGTAAATGTGCAGATGATTAAGTAGCCTCTGCTCCATGAGTATTCTGGGATGGCTGCTCAGAATCATAGAATAATATGGTGCTTGCCCTTTTCTCAATCGGAAGCATTTCCCAAAGATGCTGATGTACAGTTCCAGTCATCCTCCAACCAGCATACAATTAAGGGTTAAGTTTAGGTAGGGAAGACTGTATTCAAATCTTCATTCAACAACGTAGCCCATTGGCTGAATTTGGGGCAATTTCACAGACGTATTCTCTCTTTCTTGGCCTATCCTACTTCATAGCGTGGCTATTTGTGGGATAATATTAAGGGAGACCTTCCCACCTGATATAGTGTCATCTACATCACGGATCTCCAACCTTGGCAAATTTAAGACTTGTGGACTTCAGCTCCCAGAATTCCTCAGCCGGCATGGCGGGCTGAGGAATTCTGGGAATTGAAGTCCACAAGTCCTAGAGTTCCCAAGGTTGGAGACCTCTGATCTACTTCCAAAGGAAAGACAGAATGTAAATGAAATAATAAAGGAATAAATAGTCCAATACATTGAGAACAGTATCTTACTGAGACAAGTGGCAACAGACTTAATTGTGTTGCTCCTCTAATACTGGTCTCAGAAGTAAAAAGCTTTTCCTATAAGTTTTTACAGATTTGTGGGTTTTTTTCCCCTGAAAGCTACGGAATTGTTGGAAATCGCCAGGGATGAAAGTTCCAGTTGCTTAATTAGTAGTTCTCCCTTCTCCAGTCCCAGCACGTTATATGGCCATGATGGCGAACCTATGGCATATCTGTGGGCACGCAAGTGTTGCCCTCGCTCAGCTCCAGCGCACATATGTGCTCCGGCCAGTTGATTTTTGGGCCTCCAGTCCCACCGGAAGTCAGGAAACTCGCTGTTTCCAGCCTCCAGAGGGCCTCCAAGGGGTGGGGAAGGCCGTTTTCGCCCTCCCCAGGCTCCAAGAAAGCCTCTGGAGCCTGGGGAGGGCAAAAAACGGGCCTAACCTTTTTGCTGTTGCATGCCAAAAGCGAGGGGAGCACGGGGGGGGGGGGGGGGTGGGGGGGGGGGGGGGGGGGGCATTGAATTATGAGTGGGGGCACATGCGCCTGTGCCCCCCCCATGTGCCCCCCCACGCTCCCCCCACTTTTGGCACACAACAGCATAAAGGTTAGCCATCACTGTTATATGGCATGCATCAGTGGATCTGTTATCTTTTGTTCTTCCAAAAACTCTGGCTTTCATTTCTGTTACATGTCCAACCCTCATACCCACTTCTTTTATGATAAGGTAACCTTTGTGGTCCCTCTTTGATGCGTATGATGTTATTCGTGTTTATTCATCTGGGTAACCTCCATGCAGGTGTCTAAAACTGCTCCCACTGGAGAATATCTGACAACCGGAAGCTTCATGATCAGAGGTAAGATCTCCATTCTCCAAGGAGATATTTCCCAAGTTCATTTCCCAACCCAGGATGGCTGTTGTGCTAATAGCCCAGTTCAGTGAGAAGGGGAAATTATGAACCAGACTCCATATTAATGTTCTAAGGAGACTGAGTTTGCTTTTTCATGGAAACCTCAATGATCTAATTTCTTCTTTTTTTTTCCTCCAGGAAAAAAGAATTTTCTTCCCCCTTCTTATCTTATGATGGGCTTCAGTTTCTTATTTAAGGTACTGTGTGCCCTTAAGTTATTGCTGCTTCTTTAGGGATGTATAAAAATGAGGTGCAAGATGCCATCTCCCAAGTATTCAACTCTACTGTTTACTAGATTGGGAGTTTACAGTGGGAGAAAGGATATTTTCTGGTCGAGGAAAGTGAAGTTGTGATTTCAGTGAAATCCTAGCAGCTCTCGCTTGCATGTACCAGAAGTTCGCATACCTGTAGGGCTTTGTTTCTTTTTGTTTTTTCCAAGGTAAAATCTTCTATTTTTATTAAGCTTTACATGCATGTATCTTTCTGTTTTTCAGAATATTTATAGAGGGTTGAAAACATTCTGTAAAATCAGCCTTAGGCGCTTGTAACTTCATCTGCATGTGTCTGTTCAGTTACATTTGTTGTATTTCTATCTCTCTCTTGTGTGGGTGCACATGCACAACACACACACAAACGGACGGACATAATCCAGATTGCAATGAGTTTTAAAATAGCCTTTCTTAATATTAGTGGGTTTATAACATTTTGTAAAAGCGTGCGCGCACACACAGAGAGAGAGAGAGACATTCCAGATTGCAATGAGTTTTAAAATAGCCTTCGTTAATATTAGTGGGATCTGTTTTGAAATCTGACCATGTGTGTGAATTGAAGGAAAATTTTTTTAAAAAAAGAACTGTTCGGGAGCAAAGGATCAGTCAGCAGAACCCGATTAAAACTCTCTTGGATGGTAATGAGTCTTTCAAGTAGCCTCCCATCCATAGCTTCATTAACAGTTTTGTGTCCGTGACGATGATGTTTTTTTTTTTTTGAGAAGGAAAAGTTAGTCCAGTCTCCTCTCACAAAATCTATACTTTTCAGACACGAAATGGCCTTTGCTTTATCGTAAAACTGGAATTTAAGATCCTTTCAAAACAGAATAACATAAATTGGAAGGGACCTTGAAGGTCTTCTAGTCCAACCCCCTGCTGAAGCAGAAAACTCTATACCAGGTGTCAAACTGGCAGCCCGTGGGCCGGATGCATCACACGCAGGCCACGCCCACCCCAGCTCAGCGAAGGGGGAAAACATCACGAAACATCATGTGACGGCAATGTGACATCATGAGTTTGACACCTGTGCCCTATACCATTTCAGACAAATGGTTCTCCGGTCTCTTCTTAAAAGATATGGTCTTAGTCTGTCAATTAGAGTTTCTGGTCCAGGTATTTCTTTCTTTTTTTTCTGTGAGGTGACCAGTCAGGTGCTGAGAACTCGGCCTGCATCCGAGGAAAACATGACTTTTTTTATCCGTACTCCAGGTGGATGAATCCTGTGTTTGGAGACACCGGGGTGAGCGGAAAATCAAAGTGCAAGATGAAGACATGGAGACTGTGACCAGTGCCACCAGTGAGCTGGCAGCAGAAGAAACAGAGCCCTTGGGTATGGTTTAACCTAGTGCTGCCAAAGAAAGTTACGTTTCTGGAGTCTGGGCTTCCATTTGCATATGGTGCCATTCATCCGTGGGCTGTCAGATTCCTGAATGAGAAATAACATCATAACTACATAGTATGATGGACTTGCAGGGCCGGCACAATGTGTAACATGTTCACACTGGTGCAATAGGACTGGGTGTTTTGTTAATATAATTTATTGGGTTAGGGATTTTTTGTCTTCACTGTGAGTTGTATTATGTTGGGGGTGGGGGGTGCACTGAGGGAGCTCAACCAATTTCATTGTACATATGTTGTGCACTGACAATGAAGATTTGATTTGATTTACTTCCGCTGGGACTCTTCATGACTGTGGACTGCTAGAATGAGATCAGTAAGCTCTATTGATTCCTCTAAAGTGAAAGTTTCCTCAGATGGGGGTCTCCCCAAGGTGAACTCCTCTTCCTTTGAGATCTTGATCCCCTCTTGATCCTCCCAGGCAAATCTTGTCCCCTTCTTCAGTCAATAAGTTATTCTTCCTTTTAAAATTCCAAGGACTGTTTGCTTGCCGGTCTTAAATCATGATGAGTGCAATTGAATGTGTGTTCGTTCCTTCTTTGGCTTTTTACCAAGATGCACCAGAGGGAGATGAAACTAGCAGTGATGAGGATGCTCATAAAGAGGAGAGCCAAGAGAAACCAGAGAATGAAGAACATTTTGCTGAGATACATAATGAAGAGTGTGTTGGGAATGGGGCAGGAGATGCCTTGGTCATGGAAGAATCATCTGAGGAAGAGAATGAAGTTTTGGAGGAAGAGGAAGATGAGGAACCGACAAGTAATGCTTCAGATATACTTTTTCCAGACACATCCATTGATCTTTCACATCTTCAGTCCCAAAGGTAATAGAAAGCAGGACTATATGTGCAAAACCATCTTTGGAATATGTGCCAAATACAAGTGTAAAATTTGAGCATTAGTCTTTGTCTCTTCTCTCCTGAAATTTTTTGCCAATACTTCCCAGAGACCTTTGCTTAATAATTTTGCTTCTTGTTCAGGATGAATAGGAGTGTAATGAGCATAATATGTATATTAAAAAAAAATTAAAAAATAGTTTAACAATTTGGAACTAATGTTGGTAAAGGTTTGATTTTTTAAAAAAATGATTTGGGTTATGTTTGTGATTTGGGGCATTCTAGTTACTGTTAAGGGAAGCGTTAAGTGTTACTGTTAAGTGGCTAAGACGCTGAGCTTGTCGATCAGAAGGTCAGCAATTCAGCGGTTCGAATCCCTAGTGCCGCATAATGGAGTAAACTCCCGTTACTTGTCCCAGCTTCTGCCAACCTAGCAGTTTGAAAGCATGTAAAAAATGCAAGTTGAAAAATAGGGACCACCTTTGGTGGGAAGGTAACAGGGCTCTGTGCGCCTTCAGCATTTAGTCATGCCGGCCACATGACCACGGAGATGTCTTCGGACAGTGCTGGCTCTTTGGTTTTGAAACGGAGATGAGCACCGCCCCCTAGAGTTGGGAACGACTATCACGTATGTGCTGGGAAACCTTTACCTTTACTTTAGTTACTGTTAAATAGGTGTTTTCAACTATTACATACTGCCCAGAGTCACTTTTGTGAAATGTGGGGCATATTACATATGTAAAAAAATCTGAAAGAATGGTACAGTAATGGATGGGAAACAATGTTTGTCAAAAGTATTCAGGCCCTATGATGACCAAATTTCATATTCTAAGAACATAAGGGCTTTAGTGTGCTAACGGACAGAATGGGCATCAGGATCTATATTTTGTTATGGAAATATACAAAGAACTGTAAGGAAAGTTAATGTAAATGTAAGTTGAGAAAGTATGTTCTGCCTTCTTATATAAATGTTGGGAGTCAGCTGCTGTCTGACTCAGCTTTCACTTAGGAAACATGGGTCTCTTGCTTGCATTTGGCTCCAGCCATTTGGGCCTTCAAGCTAAGACCTGGCTTTTCTCCCAGGTTCTTGGGCCAGTAGGTTGACAGAGTTGATATGGATTGGTTAGTGGATGGATATGAGTTTTATCAGGACCTCAGCCTAATTTATTCTTTTAAATAGTTGTACTATATAGTATTTTTATTTGCCACTCAGCTTTTTTTTGGTAAACAGGTGGCTGTATAAATGTATTTAATAAATACATAAACTGGCTTCTCACACTGGACTGTTCTTGTAAGAAAACTCAACTTTGTTCTATTGTAGATCGCAGCTGAAATTTGCTTTGAAAGATAACATCTCAAGTTTGGTGAGCTCTTCGTTGCTATCAATAGAAGACTATTGGCTGCAGCTCATCCTGACGAAACAACTACAGTCTAACTCTCTCTCTCTCTCTCTCTCTCTCTCTCTCTCTCTCTCTCTCCCTCCCTCCCTCCCTCCCTCCCTCCCTCTCTCTCTCTCTCTTTTTTTTTTGTAGGGTGACAGCAAGTCTCAGGGGCGGAGACATCTCTCAGCCAAGGAGAGGAGGTGAGGAGGCCTAGATAGGACATTTAAATGAGTGTTTCTCAATCTTGGCAGTTTAAGATGTATGGACTTCAACTCCCAGAATTCCTTAGCCAGCAAAGGAGATGAAGACCATACATCTTAAAGTTGCCACAGTTGAGATATACTGATTTACATTTAGCTCTAAGTGGCAGTTTTGCATTTGCCTGGGTAGTTACAGCTATTGCAAAGATGCATTCTTGTTTTTTGCCTTCTCAAAGAGGTTTATGTACTGTGGAGTCCCACAAGCAAGAAAGTTGGTTGTGGACTCCATACTATATAAACAACAGTTTCATATATCTAGAGTCGGGAACAACTAGCACATATGTGTGAGAGGAACCTTTACCTTACCTTTACCTTATATTCCATACTACAGTTTTTCTGGCTGTTGTTGCCAGCCTGAGATCTCTTTCTTTCCCTCTCTTCTAAGACTTGGGGTGTCCTTGATATTTTGAAATAAATTAGCTAGCTGGCAGAAATTGTATGGAATTCTGTTTTCTCTCAGAGAGATGAAGAAAAAGAAGCCGCCAAGTGACCAGGATGATTCTGATCTTCCAAAAGGGAAGGATGAAGATAATTCTCCTCAGCTCCAGCTTTATCCCAATGATTGTAAAAGTGCTGGCACGCAGCAGCCCGTGAAGAGGAGACAAAAGGTAACTGAACTGTGTGCATATTGGGTACTCCTCAGGTAGCCTGATCAGTCAGGTGGGCAAAACTAGAGATTCTTGGACCACTGAGAGTTCAGCAAGAAACTGCCACATGTCTACAATCCAACATCACCCAAATATGATAGAAATACAATTCCAAGCAATCGGATCTCATCTGGAAGGCCTCATGATGGGGAAAGCCAATTCAGGCTGTTTGGAATTTGTGTGTGTTGGGATGAAAAGCTCTTTATTCCTCTTAATGCTGCAATTCTGCAGGGTCACCTGGCCTTTTATCTGAATGTTTCAGATTTCACTGCGCCCTGAACCCTTCTGAGTAACCTGTGGATGCAGGCAAATTGGGCCTGTTTCCAGGCTGCCTGAAAAACCACAGATCGAGTCCTTCTTCGATGCTTAAATCTGTCAAACTTCCTTGAGAATGTCTACATTTCACAGTGAGAGGATCGTAGTAGATATATCACAAATGCAAAAATCTATATTATCTGTGGATTATTGTGGTGGAAGAGTAACCTGTCAGGTTAAGAAAAGCAGTTTGCGATGAGACTTTTCAATTTCACTCCCTTCTGTTTTTGCCCACAGAACAAGCTGAAAAAAATCAAGGAGAAATACAAGGATCAGGATGACGAGGACCGGGAGCTGATCATGAAGCTGCTGGGAGTAAGGCAAAAATAGAGTTGACTCTTCCCCCCACCCCCACTTCAATATAATGTGAAATTTGTCTTCTGATCCTTTTGGTCTGCCAGTCTGCAGGGTCAAACAAGGAAGAGAAACCCAAGAAAACCAAAAAAGGAAAAACAAATCAAGAATCTGCCAAGAAACAGTCCCAGAGACAGAGGAGGGACCAGAAGCCTGGCCAGGGGGCCAGGATAGAAGAATTAATCCCTGAGTTAGAGGGTGCTTCTTTGGAAGAACATTTGGATGACAAGGTAGAACGATTAATAAAGCAATCATGGGTACTTAAAATAAGAGTGAACGGAGTCTTGCAAGTTGTGTTTCTCCCTTTCTCTCGGTCTTGGCTCAAGTTTGATGTTTTGTTTTCTTTGACTCTTCCAGGAGGAGCAGGACCAAGATCAAAACATAAACGAGGTAAATTTGAGCTGGTTATTTCTTTTTATTTAGTGGGGAAAAAAGGAGTTTGGAAATTCTCAGATTTCTTTATTTGATGGGAGGGCATCATAGCCTAGGAGTGAAAATGGTTTCTCTGTAGTAGTGATTGTGAGAAGGATCTTGGAGTCTTAGTGGACAATCAGCTAAATATGAGCCAGCAGTGTGCAGCGGCAGCTAAAAAAGCCAACGCAATCCTAAATTGCATTAACAGAGGGATACAATCAAGATCAAGTGAGGTACTAATACCACTCTATAAAGCCCTAGTAAGACCACACCTAGAGTACTGCATCCAGTTTTGGTCACCACACTATAAAAAAGATGTTGAGACTCTAGAAAAAGTGCAGAGGAGAGTAACCAGGATGATTAGGGGACTGGAGGCTAAAACATACAATGAACAGTTGCAGGAACTGGACATGGCTAGTCTAGTGAAGAGAAGGACCAGGGGAGACATGATAGCAGTGTTCCAGTATTTGAGGGGCTGCCACAGAGAGGAGGGGGTCAAGCTGTTTCCCAAAGCACTTGAAGGCCAGACAAGGAATAATGGATGGAAACTGACCAAAGAGAGATTCAACCTAGAAATGAGGAGGAACTTTCTGACAGTGAGAACAATCAACCAATGGAACAACTTGCCTTTGGAAGTTGTGGGAGCTTCATCTCTTGAGACTTTCAAGAAAAGATTGAACTGCCATTTGTCAGAAATGGTGTAGGGTCTCCTGCTTGAGCGGAGGGTTGGACTAGATGACCTATAAGGTCCCTTCCAACTCTGTTAATCTGAATGTACCTGCTTTCTGTGATCACTTAAAAATGAGTCCTCTCAAGTAGAAAGGAGCTGGTGCTGGAATGTCTATTTTGACATCATCTTTAATGCTATACCAGCAATGGAGAAAGTCAGTGTGACCTGCAGGATAAGGAAGCTTTGGCCTCAGCCTCAACAAATCTTCCATCCCGCTCCGTCTCACTTCTGCAGTTCTAACTGCCCTTGCCCACGTGCCTTCAAGCACATCTTTGCAAAAGATGTCAAGCCAGGAGATGCTGAAGTTGCCTTTTCTCTTCCTTGTCCTGATCCTCCTCCTTATTTCTTTAAAGGAAGACTCAAAGAATTAGGCAGCTAATTCCATATTTCTGGATCCTGTTCAAGTGTAGAGATCCCATTGACTGATGTTTCACTGTTAGCTTTATAAAAATGTTGTGGAGTATCATCTGATGTTGATAAAAATGGAAATGTTGAATGTGTGAGGGAAGGCAAGTCTTAATTTGTTTCCAGCCGTCTTTGTCTGATGTTTGGATTTCTGGGCTTGTGAGATAAATTAGTACAAAAAAGACATGAATAGAATAGCACTTAGACTTATATACTGCTTCATAGTGCTTTACAGCCCTCTCTAAGTGGTTTACAGTGTCAGCATATTGCCCCCAACAATCTGGGTCCTCATTTTACCAACCTCGAAAGAATGGAAGGCTGAGTTATTCAAACTGCCAAACTTCTGGCAGCCGGCTGTCAGCAGAAGTAGCCTGGAGTACTGTAGTTACCACTGCGCCACCACGACTCACCAGTGTCCCATTATAACTGCTTTGCAGTCCAATCAGTTACAAAATTGACAGATAATAATGCCTCTTTGCAAAATAAGCACACCCTGTTGTAGTGAGAGCAGCTGAACATCCATGGTCAGTCTCCAGTCTGTATGATTTCACCATGCTCATCCTTTGCTGTATCCAGGAAGGGACGGCTCTGTTTGATTCTCTGACGGGGCAGCCTCACCAGGAAGACATCCTCCTCTTTGCTGTTCCAGTCTGTGCACCTTACACTGCCATGGGCGGTTACAAGTGAGTGTCATCAACTATTGGCATGGGTGTACCTGCCCAGAGAAAGCTATCTTCCTATTAAAATCATGCTTGTTTTTTTTTTTTAAAGATATAAAGTCAAGCTGACACCAGGCACTCAAAAGAAAGGGAAAGGTAATATATATTCCTTCTTGTGTGCTTTTCAGCCATTTGTCCTATCTGTATAGTACTAAAACTCCTTCTCTCATAAAGAGAGCCATTTGTCCTATCTGTATAGTACTAAACAGTACCTGGATGAAACTGTCTATCTGGATCCGTTCCAGTCCGGCTTCAGGCCTGGGTACAGCACGGAAACAGCATTGGTTGCATTGGTTGATGATCTCTCGAGGGCTCGGGACAGGGGATGTTCCTCTGTTCTGGTCCTATTAGATCTCTCAGCAGCTTTTGATACCATCGACCATAGTATCATGCTGCGCCGGCTGGAGGGGTTGGGAGTGGGAGGCACCGTACTACGGTGGTTCTCCTCCTATCTCTCCGACCAGTCGCAGTCTGTGTTGGCTGGGGGGCAGAGGTTGACCTCGAGGCACCTTGTTTGTGGGGTGCTGCAAGGGTCGGTCCTCTCGCCTCTCCTGTTCAACATTTATGTGAAGCCGCTGGGTGAGATCATCTGTGGATTTGGGGTGCGGTGCCATCTGTACGCTGATGACACTCAGCTGTACATCACCCCAGACCACCCCAATGATGCCCTTGAAGTGATGTCCCGGTGCCTGGAGGCCGTGCAGGTCTGGATGGGGAGGAACAGGCTCCAACTCAACCCCTCCAAGACCGAGTGGCTGTGGCTGCCGGCGTCCTGATATAGCCAGCTGGTGCCATCGCTGGCTATTGGGGGCAAGTCATTGGCCCCCACGGAGAGGGCTCGTAACTTGGGCATCCTCCTGGATGCACGGCTGTCTTTAGAAGAGCATATGATGGCGGTGGCCAGGGGGGCTTTTTATCAGGTTTGCCTGATATGCCAGTTGCTTCCCTTTCTGGATCGGGACTCCTTATGCACGGTCACTCATGCCCTCGTCACCTCTCGCCTGGACTACTGCAATGCTCTCTACATGGGGCTCCCCTTGAGGAGCACCCAGAGGCTCCAGCTGGTCCAGACTGCAGCCGCACAGATAATTATGGGGGCGACATGGCGCTCCCATGTAATACCTCTCCTGCGCGAGCTGCACTGGCTCCCGGTGGTCTTCCGGGTGCGCGTCAAGGTATTGGTTCTCATCTTTAAAGCGCTCCATGGCTTAGGGCCCAGGTATTTACGAGACCACCTTCTGCCACCGATAATCTCCCACCGGCCAATCCGCTCCCACAGAGAGGGTCTCCTCGGTGCCGTCGGTAAAGCAATGTCAACTGACGACCCCTAGGGAGAGAGCCTTCTCTGTGGGGGCACCCGCCCTCTGGAACGAGCTACCCCCAGGAATACGACTGATCCCAGACCTCCGTACTTTCCGCCGAGCGTTGAAGACCTCCTTATTTCAGCAAGCCGGGCTGGCTTAAAATTTTAATGGGTTATTTTATGGGTAAAGAGTTTTAAAATTTGGGGAAGCCAAACTGATTTAATTCTGTTTTAATTTATTTTAATTTTTATATTGTATGTATTTTAATTTTGGCTGTTCACCGCCCTGAGTCCTTCGGGAGAAGGGCGGTATACAAATTTAATAAATCTAATCTAATCTAATCTAAAACTCCTTCTCTCTTTATTGGTGAAAGTGTTTGTAGGACAATTAGTTTTCCACCCGGGTACCTCAAAGTGTATAACTTATAGATTGCATCAAAAATCTGGAATCCGTGGCTCCCATGAAGTTGACATTTGGCAAATTTCATAAATCGTTTTATGACATAAAAATCATAAAAGTATTTTTAGGACATAATACAAAATGTCATAAAACATTCCCTGTGGTCAACTGCTGATGTTTAACAGTGCTATACAGTTCAACATAGATTGAACTTTTAAAGCAGGTATGTCTCTGAATATCTTCCTGAAATTTTAAGAAGTTTTCAAGTGCTTTATACACTCTGCCATGAAAGCATTGAGGAACCTGGTAAAAAAGTAGCTTTGAAATGAAGACCCAGTGGGTCATATATAGATTGTGTGGCTAATTATTTAAACCCTTTAATAGAAGTGCTGATCAGCAAACGTGTATTTTAGCTTGTCCATTAATAATTTGCTTTCACACATTTTCTCTCTGCTCCTTATTGTCCTGTTGGCAGTATCTCCTTTCCTCTTAAATTCTGTTTTATTGATATGCATACGTACAATGTTCTGTCTTTCTACTCAAACTCTCTGCCATTTAAACATTAAGATAAACTTTAAAAAATGAAAACTGCTTTTCCCCAAGAAGCCTCTGATGCTGTCTTCTGAGCTGAGAAGATATAGAAAACCTATGGGGATGTTTGCAAGAATTCCCCAAAACAGATCAACTGTTTATACTTCATCTGCCTTGTGTTGTTTTGTGTCATAACAGCTGCAAAGACTGCTTTGCATAATTTCATGCAGTCCAAGGAATCAACTACAAGGGAGAAGGATCTCTTCCGCAGTGTGAAGGTAAAACCCTGCTTTTAAATATTTGCTTCTAAAGAGAGTGTTGTGGAAACAAAAAGGAAGAAAAATCGGGTGTAAATTCCATGTGAAACTGAAATAGACTCGTGTCTTGAAAAATAGGGGATGGATTGCAAAGTGATAACTCCAAAGTCCTATGACACAAAAGTCAGACTTCCAGATAATGAATAATATTTTGGCGAAAACATTGGGGTTGGGTATGAGTGGCGGGCTGATAAGACTAGCCCATCCCTCCTAACTGAGAATACAATTTCATCTCAGAAGTGTCTTCATAGGGAAAAAAAGTTATGTAAGATTGATTTTGGAAACTATAGTTGGAATTAACAATAAGGAAGAGATCCTACCTATCTTGGAAAGTTAACTAGATCTCAAGTTCTACTAAGAGCACTCAGAAGCTCTTCATTTGACACCAGTAGTAGAGATATTTAGATATTCCTCTTTATGGATTAGGAAATCCACAGTATCCTTCCAGATTAAGAAAAGTTTCATAGTCAATGGGCCTATAGTTTTAAGTTCCTTAAAAAGAATTTTAAAACTATAAAAAAAGTTTATCTGGTATTTGCTGCTTGTTTTAGCACCTGGCTTTCCTACTGGTAGAAAAATGACTTAACAGTACTGTAAGAATATAGCTAATCAAGAGGGACATGTCATTCTTTTGCATAGGATACGGACCTATCCAGAAATATTCCAGGCAAAGTGAAGGTATCGGCCCCTAATCTCCAACATTTGAAAAAGAAATGATATGAATTATGGACAACTTCACAAGCTTGCACCTTTGGATTGTGTTGCCCAATGACAGGAGCAATGACAGGATACATCATCACTGGAGCACCTTTCTGTTTTGTTAATAAAATCCACTACTGATCAAATGATCACAATTGAGGTGCTTTTCCTCTCTCCTGTGTCCTAAACTAACTTCACTTTCTTCCTAGAAAATGGATTTATATTAGAAAGCGCTTATGATCCAGCTTGGTACAATATTTGATTGTGACCAACTGGGCTCCATGTCACATTTCATATTTGTACTCTTTTGCTACAGCATAGAACTGATTTTTTTTCATCTTCTTTTGCTAAATTGTCTTTAGATGATCACCTTTATTGTATTAGAAAGCGGTCCCCAACCTTTTGGACTCCAGGGACCAGTTCCGCTGACCAGTTCCGTGGACAGCAATTTTTCCACGGACCAGGAAGGCATGGTTTCACACGCTTCCTGCATGTGCACATGCTTCCTGCATGTGCACAGATGAGGCTTCACTCACATGGTCCAGTTCCTGGTGGCACTGGTCCGTGGACCGTGGGTTGGGGACCCCCATATTAGAAGACTGTGTGGATAATTTTAAAAATTTAGCATGAACCCGGATGATGCATTTAATACATGTTTAGAAGAAAAGAATTATTGGCTTAGGTTTCGTACATTCCATTCTGATTAGAAACTTCAACCCACAATTCTCCAGAAGTCCCATTCCAGAATATGCTTCTTAGTATTGGAGACGCTGGATGCCAAAACAGTTTTTTTTACCCTTTCTCAGAAATCAGAAATAATAGAAATAATTAATTTTGGGGCAAACTGTTAATTTTGCATGTAAGGCTATGCTGCGTTGAAGAGCCCTGACCCTAGATTTAATAAATATGGGGTTGTGCTATATGGAACAAAATGCAATCTTACACAAGGCTTCTGGTCCAGCACCAGTGTAGAAGAAATAGCAAATCTCTCCACAATTGCATTAAATAATAACATTTATTGCAACCAAATTTTACACAAAAATAGGTTCTCTTTCTAAGCTATTCACATGCAGTCAAAAAGACATCAAAGCAATGTTGCCACTAATTACAACACAAGAACATTTAATCTATACAAATGTCATTTTGTCATTCAGGGATGGTAAAATTATTACATCTTTTTATAGAAAGGCCATCTATATACAGTATGACCAGTGCAGATTCTCCCTATGATCCAGATGTGTTGTTACTACCAAAGCGCTGGTTGAGTTTGTGGAGCAGGTGCTTGGGAAGGCAGTGCCAGGAACTGGCCAGGATTTCTTTGAAGCACATAACGGTCTCTAAACACAATCTGGAGGGGAGTAAATGAAAAGAAACTTAAAATTTCAGACAAATTGTTGTTCTTCTGTTTCCTACTTAATACCAATACAAATACAGGGTCAAGGGTGATAAGAACAGCTATCCATTTCTATTGAATCTTATTGTATTTGTTGAACACTGAAGGTTTCTTAAGGCAACAGAACAGATACAAGTAATCGTAGGCTGAATAGAAAAACAATGGTCTGCTTCATGAACTTGTAGAAGACACAAGTTTGAGGGAACTGGCCTAGACTAGAAATTTCCTCAAGAGATCTGTCAGCTTCCTACCAAAATAAATACAGCATTTATTATTGTTCTCATAGTGCCAAATTTATATCCTCAAATTCTCATTTTGCATATTTATCAAAGGAAAGAGCAGTTTAAAATATTAAAAATACCTTGCCAGGGATTTGGGTTGAAGAGAAAACACAAGTATCTCATTACTATGTGCCTGAAAGCAAACAAACAATCAATTAGAACTGAAATGTCATAACTGAGAACCTCAATCTACAATTCACAAGGAAGAGAACAGTCTGCTGAACCTGGATCAGAAATAAGAGTTTCAAAATCCTTGTCTAGCCTTTAGATAGCTTCTCAAACAAGTCTACCTCACAAGGTGCGTGAAGACAATAAATTATGATGCTCAGATTTCCTCACAAAAGGCAGAATAAAAGTGAATCAATGAAGAATTAGGTTATTTATTATAAATCTCTGTGACTCAGTAAATGAAAAATGCTAATGAGCATCAGTCTTTGTAACTCAAACACTTTCACAGTTCAGTCTTCCACTCAGGCTGGCATTGTGGCCACCAGCTGCCAACCCTCCACATCAATTGGTGCACATACGAATATTTATTTCCATCATTTCTATAGCTAACAAGCAACACTTATACTCTTGGGTAATGTGTCCTCTGTGCTTTCATGAAACAAATACAGCAAGATAGTCTAGAACAGAGGTCTTTGATTTGTATGAAAGAACATAGATGGGGGGAAATAGCCATGCAAATATGGCTCAGTATCAAACAGAATTTATGAATGGAATGGAATGGAATGGAATGGAACAGCTTGGCATACATTAAAATGAAATTTCATTGCATACAGAAAAGAAAACCTCCAATATACACTACATAAACATGACTAAGTAAGTACAAAATTATGCATATACCCACATATATATGGCACAGAAACAACACAGTCTAATAAAAAAGACTGTCTATTAAGTACCTTCAGGAAGTCAATCTGAGTTGAACCTGATCCCGCACTGTTGACAGGTTAAGGACAACATTTATTGTGGTTGATGCTAAATAAATCACCAGCTGAATTTCAAACCACCCTTTTGGGGTTACAAAAGGGCTGCCTTTTGCTGCACTTATGATTGCACTGCTAGATGGAAAGAAATGGGCAGGCTGCCCTGAACCCAGGCCTGAATGCACTGCAACAGATTGGTGAAATCATTCCTTAGTAAAAACGAACCAGAGAGAGTCATATACTGCTTTTCCTACCAGCTGCTTTGTGCTCTATACACAGTCAAAGCCAGTGAACTGAAAAAAAAAACCCACATAGACCTGAAAAAAGAACTTACCGCTTTGTGATGGGCAAGTAAATTGCTGGCACAGCCCCCAAAGACGATCACTTCTCCCTCATCGCTTGCACAGGCAGTGTGCCAGAGTCTGCAGATAGAACATTTGCACCATTGAGAATGCAACAGGACAAACACAAAAGAGTCAAGGGTACAGGAGTCTGTAAGACTTCACAAATCACAGTAACTACAGCTTCAGTTGCAAACTACAAGCTAAGTAAAAATTGGATGGGGGAGTATATCAACAACCCCATCAAGTGTATAGCAACTGGAATTTACTGTATTAGATTGCATTTTTCTATAGGTCCTTATATTCCACTCATAAATAACAAAACCAAGAAAATGTATGATTTGATATTTTTGCAGCAGCAAGCCATAACTGCTTCACAATATTCCATTTTTAAAAATCTTTCTTGCATTTTGACAGGGGACTTTGAAAACATAGAAATGGGAAAAAAGCTTAATATTCTCAATCATTCTCTCCCCAATTATGCTGCAAAAGATACTGCTCAGAGTGGCAAAAATAAAAGTCAGATAAACCAGCAAAACATTTTTCTGAGGGTTAATATACTGCAGTGTTTTTCAAGCTTGCCAACTTTAAAATATGTGGGCTTCAACTCCAAGAATTCCCAGGCCACACAACTTAAGTTACCAAGTTTGAAAAATCCTGCTGTACTGTAACAGTGTCTTGTTGACTGAAGTCAAGATGCATGACAGTTGGACACATGAAGCTGGGGAAGATTGCTGTAGTGAATTTGGGATGTAGAAATACAATACAGTTCTTTTGCCACTGTCTTACCGAGGTTTCTCTAAATAGTTGTGTTCAAACTGTATCCATTCATTTTTACTGATGCAATAGATCCAGGCATCACCTGCAATGTAAAGAGATATTTTAACTTTGAAGGCATGTTTTCAGTGCTGCCCAAAGGAACTAGGTTGGTCACAAGATGGGCCAAAGTACAGATTTAAAGGCATCACCTGAGGCTCTGGGCTCTCCTGAGAAGACCTACCACTGCTACCACAGAGCTCAAGGGCTACATATTTGAAGGCCAACTACAAGATGCCCCATATAACTATATTCTTTATGGTACATTTTTTTTAAAAAAAGTCCTCTCATTAATTTAATTTATTTCTTAAATAATTTGGAATCCTCATCCCTGGCAAAGAAATTACCATGAAATCATCATCCTCTTTTAACGACCCCATAATCCCTTTGCGGGGTGGAGTCTGGGCAACTGAATGGAGTTGAGTGTTTACTGGCCGGATGCCAATACTGAGTTTTTTTCCCCAGCAGATATATTCTCAGTGTGCCCAGAGAGAGAAATATCTGCCTCTATCTAGGATCGAACTCACAGCTTCCTGATTGTGAGGCGAGAGCTCCACTTCTAGGACACCGCACCAATCATGAAATGGTACAGATATTTCCAGGCTCTATTTCATAAATACACTGTAATCACTGTAATTAGAGAAAAATAGAATGATACCCAACAAGATGCCAAATATTTACTACATGTAACACAACTAGAGCCCGGGATCATGTGATCACCATTTGCGATTTTCTGACAAGTCAATGGTGAAGCCAGATTCACTTAACAACCGGGTTACTGACTTAACAACTACAACGATTTACTTAACAACTATGACAAGAGAAGTTGTAAAACGGGAAAAATCACTTAACAAAGCAACATAATTTTTGGGCTCCATTGTGGTTGTAAATCGAGGACTACCTGTATAAAGCAACTCTGTAAAGTGGGACAATGGTGATGAAAGAAACATTCCATACATTTATTGGATTATACTACCCCCCCCAATTTAAAGGTGCTTGTGAAAGGAGTGGGGCAGTGGCCTAGAGGAGGATCTCTCGCCTCACAAATCAGGAGGCTATAGTTCAATCCTAGGTAGAGGCAGTGATTTCTCTCTCTGGGCACACTGAGAATGTATCTGCTGAACAAAACTCCACATTGGCAACAGGAAGGGCATCCGGCCATTAAAACACTCTGCTAGCTCCATTCAGTTGCCCAGACTCTACCCTGCAAGGGATTACAGGGTCATTAAAAGAAGACGAATGATTTAAAGGGGCTTGTGAAATCATCAGATGGAAGCAAAAATAAATCCAAGGCACAGAATTAAGGATTCTTCCCTGAAAAAACCAGTAATCTGAGAAACTGAAGATGGTATCTACGCTTCTAAAATTTACTTACTGAGTGGCTGCTTGTCAGTGGTGAAGCCACCAAAGAGGAAGAGATGGTCTGAGGAAATGGTGGTTAAAGAATGCCAAGATCGTCCAACAGGGCAAATGCCCTGCACAACTCTGTGGGGGGAGGAGAAGAACACACCAAGTCAGAAAACCGAGGCTCACAGGGGCAGAAATGTCTACCCTGGGGGTAAAATTGTAAACTGTCTCAAAGGTACTTTTTATTTTAAGGTCAACTGGACTTTCTGATTTTTCTTTAAGACATTTTGCTTCTCATCCAAGAAGCTTCTTCAGTTCTAACTAACAAAATGTCTTAAAGAAAAATCAGAAAGTTCAGTTGCCTTTTTAAAAAAAAAACAAAAAAACACCTTTGGGACAACCATGATCTGGATGACAGAGAACCTCTATAGGCAAAACTGTAAACATTTTACAAGCGGTGGATAAAAATACAGAACTTTATAGAGATCCCTAGATTGAGAGAGAGATCTGTCAAGATAAAGGGGAAGAACATTGTTGTGACCCCAGCCCCGGAGGCTGATTTATCTTTGCATGCTGATTCGGAGGATGATATGGAGGAGGAGGAAGCTGTCACGAGCTATGTGCCAGAGGGGCCGTCTTTACTGGTGAGTCAGCAAGAACTGACAGTTGCTGACGTGCCTATGGACCCCAGCCAAATTGAGGAGGAAACAAAGGCCAGTAACGACATGGAGGAGCACCCGGAGGCTCCAACTGGTCCAGAATGTGGCCGCGCGGGTAATCACGGGAGCCACCTGGCGCTCCCACATAACACCGCTCCTGCGTGAGCTGCACTGGCTCCCAGTGGTCTTCCGGGTGCGCTTCAAGGTGTTGGTTACCACCTTTAAAGCGCTCCATAGCATAGGACCTAGTTATCTTCGAGACCACCTGCTGCTACCGATGACCTCCCACTGACCTGTGCGCTCCCACAGAGAGGGCCTCCTTGGGGTGCCATCAGCCAAACAATGTAGGCTGGTGACCCCCAGGCGGAGGGCCTTCTCTGTGGGGGCACCTACCCTCTGGAATCAGCTGCCCCCAGAGATAAGGAGAATCCAAGACCTCGGTGCCTTCCGCTGTGCCCTTAAAACTTTCTTTTTTCAGCAAGCCGGGCTGGCTTAACATATTTTTTAACATATTTTTAAATATTTTTTAATTGGTTTGTTATCTTAAATTGGGGCCAAATTAATATATATCCTTTTAATTGTTTTTAATGTTTGTATTGTATGTTTTTATCTGGCTGTACATCGCCCTGAGTCCCTCGGGAGAAGATGCAGTATATAAATTTGAAATAAAATAAATAAAATAAATAAACGACGAGGGGGAGCCCCTATTGGATGCAAGAAAGAGGCGTAGGAGACGTTGTAGAGAACAGCTATTGCCACGTCCTAAGAGGTGAGGTCAGGAGACGTAGGGCCACACCCTACAAAGTATAAAAGGGATGTGACTGGGCTGGAAAGGCTTGGTGAATAATTTGTTAGCGTTTTGGATGCAGTGGAGTTACAACTGTTAGTTTGGAGTTTTTGAGAAGAGTCTGCATTCCTGCATTAGTCTGCTGGCTGTCTGCCAAGACCTTTGGAACATTGCCCGGTAACTATTGGACTGATATACGCTTTGGAAGAGAACTATTTATTGAAGGGCCAGCTTCAGTCTCTCTAGCCTGTGTTTGTTACTGCCGGGCTGTTTGAGCCTCTGCAAGGCCACTTGTGGGAGGGGACAGAACAAACATCTACATTGTGGAAATTCTTGAGACCCAAAGAGTTTTCTGGTGAATCATGTAGTTTGGTTTTTGAAGAAAATTCCGTATGCTGTGATAATACTAAGCTGTGATAATACTAAGTATTAGGATAATCCTAAATGTAATACTGCAAATGGAACCCTGGAACCATTTTCAAGAAAAAAAGTGCAGAAAATATTTCCCTGGAAAGGTCACAGCTTTCATCCTCAAAAAGTCTAATGTGAGAAATGGCCATAACCTTAGAAATTACCTAGAAGGGCAGGATATAAATTTTGTAAAATTTAAACATTCCATATTGAAAGGAAGCACAATTATGTAGGGAAAGAAAGACCTACTTACATCTCCTGCCATTCCCATGTTTCCAGATTAAGAAAATAAAGATCATTCATTCTAGATTCCTGAGAAGAGAGGGAGAGACGTGGATTTAGTAGAAGTTGGTCCTCCAAGAGGAAACTGTACCTCCATTCTGCATTCCTACTCACTCGGTATCTGCCTCCAAAGACATATCCTCTGTTTCCAACTGTAGCACAAGCATGGGCTGCTCGGGGTGATGGTGATTTACCCTGGGAGGAGAATTCCAGAAAATATTATTCTGAAGGCAATTGAGAAAAAGGAATATATCAGAATTCACCAACCTTTCTGACTTTGCGGAGCAGCAGGGCGGGAAGAGGGAGGGGATGGCTCTGCGCATGAGCAGCTAGCAAGCCTGCACAGCTCCATTTCCACGAGTGACATGCACACGCACCCGCCTCTCATGCAAATGGAGCACGCATGCACGCGCTCGTCCGCTGCTCATGCAAGTGGAGATGCGTGTGCATGTGTGTTCGCCCACTGTTTCCGTGGCCTGGTTGCAAACAGCTCATGGCCTAGTGGTGGTCCGCGGCCCAGAGGTTGGGAACCCCTGGAATATAACATTATCTCAAATGTACTCTTTAGATCAGTTTTCTCCAGTCTGATGTTTTCAACATATATGGAACTAAAACTTCTACCACTCATACTGAAAATGACCAACGGTGTCATTAACACAACTGGAGAGTGCTAGGTTAGGGAAGATACAGGTAGTCAAAAGGTAGTCCTCAATTTGCGGCCGATTGTTTACTGATTGTTCAAAGTTATGATGGACCTCCCTGGTATAAAACTGTGTCTGTCTCCCCTTTGTTTCCCAGGCCACTAATAGAAAAATCTCTCTTCCACATAAAACAGTCTTATCTCTGCAGGAGCCTTGAGAGATAAACCAGCTGTTTTTTACCATTTTTGTAATTAACAACACAATAACAAAAACACAGCCAGGGGGACGGGATTGAGAAAGCATTGCTGATATAAATCTACTAGAATCAAAGGTAGGAGTTGAACTGGGACTGTTACTGTTAATTACCACACCATTGGAGCACTTTTACACCAATAGAAAGATTAGTGCCCAGGTGATCCACACTGGGAGAACAACAGGATCCTGGACATTTGGCAGATTAAAGCTGCCATAGAGAAATTTATTTGAGAGTTACCGTAGTCACAGGCTGGCTCCAAGTAAATGACTCCGTATCTAGGACATGTACATGATTATTCCACCCTCTGGGAAGACCTGAATTCTAGAGCCAGAAACAGACACAAAGTTATAATGTTTTCTATAGCTAAACATTTCAACATTTCTAACTAAAGTAGCATGTCTAGAATTATTTTTAAATCATTCCTTTTTTTTGACTTGTGAGTTGCCTTGCAGACATTCAAATTGACAGAAAGGCAGTCAAGCCGAATGAAAAGTGCTGCATGAGTGTACATTCGGTTCTTTTTTGCAATTTTGTGGGGTTTTTAACACCTGGCCTAGAATGGAAGCAATTAGCTTTCAAAATCATAGATCTTTTTAATCATGGTTAGTTGCATCTAGAAGGAAGTGGGGGAGGACATGTTGTCTCACCGCATATCAACAGTTCTAGACAGGCAGAAGATACGTTAAGAGGGGAAAATGAATAAGTTTACTATGCTCAATTGTTTAATATATTGTAAGATTAGAGAATTAATATCAATGTAGTGAATGTTGTTGTAAATTCTGATGGTTATTGCACAGAGATATTTGTATCCAGATGACACACTGTTTAAGAGAAGATGGAGTGTTTATATTTAAAAAAAACTTTTAAAAAAACTGTTCTAGACAGGTTAAGATAATCCCCCAAATGAAATCAAACTGAATTTGCTTCTATAAATAGAATTCTTGAATAATTGTACTGTCTTAGATAACAAGTTTTTCTTATTTACTAAAGTCAGGACTAGGAAGGCAGCAATGCAGGCAGCAATTTCTCAAAGTCTTTCGAGTCCTTCATTTTAGCAGGGATTAAATTCTGAACAGTTCCTATGCAAAATCTTTTGGGGATAAATTTGGCTTTTCTGTTACTTAGAACCTTATGGGCCCCTTTCAAAGGGAATCCCCTTTTCTCAAATATATGCAAAATGTAGCCAGCAAGCTGACTTAAAAACAAAGCCTGCATTTATTATTGAGATATAATTCTTTCCACACAATATCATGACCGCAAAGATGGTAAGAAGAAACCCATCTTTGCCAAGTCGTGGTTGAGTTCCAACTTTCCATTAAAAAAATTCCAGCTCAGAAAAATAAAATGAATTACCCAAAAAGAGGTTTCATCAAACTCAAAGGTCCCAATCTGCTCCACATCTGGGTAATAGCCATAGCCACCAAAGAATATAAGTCTGTTCAAAACGATATAAGGGGGAAAAAAAATAAACCACAACAATAAACTATCATGATAGATTACTGTAATTATTTTATATTTAGTAGAAATTTTGTATTTAAATTAGATAGAACAACCATTTTTGGTTCATAGGGTTTACACAGTGTTTTGTGAATAAACAAAGAGAACAGGGAAGGGAATCCAAATGAGTAGCTATGAGATTAGATAATTTTATCTTTCCAAATTTGTATCATATATAATTGTTAGTGAGTACGACTACTGGGGTTATGGCAGTTGCAATACAACACACCTAAAAGTATGGGAATGATATTTCAAATGCAGTTTTTCAGATTTTTTTTACATATTTCAAAAAGACGTTTAAGACTGCAGTAGTCTTTTTAATGTTCATAAACTGCTTCTAACAGGGAAATTGGGCAGGACATAATTACAGGCTCCCTTTTTGGATATCAAAAATTCTCAGCAGTTTAGATCAATTCTCTAAGTGAAATGAAACCTATGCAATGTCAGGTGGTTTCGATTGGTGCTGATAGTTTCAATTAATATAATGTTTTAGATGACTGATTCTTATTAGTAACTCCAACATTTTAAATTATTCTCAAATATTGGTAAGCTGTATTGGTTTTTAGTTTTATGTTTACATTAGAATCCCTGTCTGAAGCCACCACTTAGATATGGTTACGTACAAAATGATCCAATTACAAGAATAAACTGAGGAAAATGGAGCAAAGCAGTTCCATTTTTTCCATTTCCATTCCAACTTTTAAACATAATATAAAAGTTCATTTTTCTGATTTTTTTAAAAAAAATAAGTAGCAGAATATATCACACAATTGTTTCCAAGAAAAATAACAGATTTTTGGAATAGTTGATAGTTGCTTACTTATTTCTATAAACCCATACTCCGAGCTTGTCTTTTGATGATGGAGGAATACCCTGGCAGTCCACTTTGATCCACTGCAACACTCCGTCATTTGATCTGGAATTTAGCATGTAGAACTGCAAAGAAATAAAGAGAACAGATCTTGGACTTTCCAATTCCATGGCAAAAATTAAGTCTCATCTCTTTTGGATTATGTCACATCAATTTAGAATCCCTAATTCTCAAAGCCCCCAAACCCAACAGGCATTTCATGACAAACCTATTACTTAATTTGTAGCAGTAAACTTCATTTCTGCACAAACAGCAAAAGCTGATCTTTCTTTTCAGGAGAGAAGGAATAACTGTAGAGTTTTCTTTGGGTCACTAAGGAGTTTTATATTCACCATTCTACTAAGGCTGTTAACTTCCGCATCAAACAAAAATAACCTTCCTTCCCAAAAACCAGTCCAGCTGGCAAAAGAAGTAGAAGTCTGTGAATGAATTTCCCAAATATGGACAAAGGACAAGTAAGTTTACAAGAAACCAAACACGAAGAGGAAAAATTCCTCTGACAAAAGCAATAGAAAAAAGGGTTACGGATAAAAAGAGATTACTGAAAAATGGGAACATCTTCACTTAGGTTTGGGGGATATATTTTGGGGAGACAGGAAATAGAAAATGACAGCCAGCTGAAATGTCAGAGATATGCAGTCCATCTTAAAAACTGTGTAATAACACTTGGGAAAAAAGTTTTATTACTACTTTTACTACTGGAATAGATTTTATTATTATGAAACTTGTTTGAGGAGGAACATGCGTTAACTCTCACCAAGAAAAGTAGAACTTAAACTTTGATAAGCTCTCAAAATATGTAGAAGAAAATCTTTGTATGAAAAATAACATTGATTTCATTAGACTACTATATAGTTTGAATTGCATCTGATAGAGCAGATGAAAAACTTTTAACAATTTAACTTGAAGAAAGAAACACAAAATACAAATAAAAATAAACAAATAAATATACAACTTTCTCTAAAGATCCTCAAAGCCCATTTGATCAGAACTCTTTCTGGGTTTACATTTATTTATTTATCTAATATACCCATCATGCTATTCCCCCCTTTCAGGTTCAGTAACATTATGCAAACCACAGAAAGGAAGTAAGAAATAGAACAAATAAATTAAAGGCATGAGAGAAAAAAATACAGCTAGATTTGATTAGACAAAACCATTTGCTCTCCTTCTCCATTTCTATCTTTGTACTGCACCTTTGCTTCAACCACATCTGTATGCCACTTTGTTCTTTGTTTTTTTAATTTCTCGTCTCTCTCTTTTTGGCGATCACCATTCAACTACAACTTCCTTAATCTTTCCTTTGCTATCAACCATTTGTCTCTTCTTATATCTATGTGTTCTGTGTTTCAGTCCTAATTCAATTCTCTCCATGGGGCCAAACCAACTCAATGTACATCTTCATAGGGTTCACTCCCAATCCCCATTCATTCTTGACTCTATATCTTTCTTGTTTTACTACACTTATTTATTTGTATCCTGCCTTTATTATTTTACAAATAACTCAAGGCAGCGAAAATATCCAACACACCTCCTTCTCCTATTTTCCCCACAACAACAACCCTGTGAGGTAGGTTGGACTGAGAGAAAGTGACTGACCCAAAGTCACCCAGCTGGCTTTCATGGCTAAGATGGGACTTTAATTATGGTCTCTTGCTTTTTAACCTGATGCCTTAACTTCTATACCAAACTGGCTTTCTACATGCTCACTGAATTCAGCATATTTTTATGCTTCTCCTGAGATATTTATCTTTCTCTTCCACATAACAATATGGACACCAGCACACTCTTATTCACAGCCATTTTTGCCTCTTTCAAATGAAGATTTATTGCCACAGTGGAGCACAAAATTCCCCGCTTCTTGGCTTAGGTCAAGATCCTGGTCATTATTTCTAAAACCTTTATGGCTGGGGTTTGCAATATCTTTGGGACTATCTACTGCAGGTGCAATCTGCCCACCTAATACATGCTAGTGGGAACGACCTTTTTGGGCTCCCATCCTCAAGAGGTTAAGTGAGTGGAGATCAGAAGGATAGCCTTCTTGGTGGCAAAACCCTGACTCTGGAGTAACTTGCTTCTTACAGAGATCAAGATAGCTGCCACCCTATTAATGTTCAGGAAGGCAGTGAGAATTAGGCTCTTTTGAAGAGAAAACTTTTAACTGTGAAGACACAGGCCAAGAATTTCCAAGGCTATTACAGTAGGTTTATAATTGATAGTGGTGTCTTTATGACCATAAATCCCTAGAGTCCATGGGGTAGGCAGCATACCATTAATCTATGTATTTATTTGATTTCTATGGTTATCCATCTTGTAACAGTAGCTGTATGACTCATATATAATGAAATCACAGAGGTACTTACAATGTACAGTGTTATCTTGGTACTCATTGTTAATTGGTTCCAGGAAATTTGATGAGTACCAAAAGTAATGAGGCCTGAACAAATTTTTCCCATTAGGAATAATGTAGTGAGCCACAAGGCAGCTGACACTGACAAATTCTAGCTTGTGCGTTGAGTACTAAAGAAATGAGCCCCAAATGCCGGGACAAAATTGTCACGTCAAAATGTATTGAGTAGCAAATTCAATGAATTTCAAAGCAGTTGAGTATCAAGGTACCACTGTACTGACACACTCAGGATGTATTCATAATACACAAAAAACAATCAGCCACCCAAAAATGGGGCAATGAATTCTCTTTCAATTTCCATATGGATCTTTACACATTCTAAACACTTGATAAGAGACTGTCATTTGCGTGCAAAACTGTGGGACTTTTTTTTGGGAAATTGGAAAAAAAAAAAAGAAAATTCACAGATGGATCAGAGTTTGAGACATTCCCAATCACTGACCTTATTTGTGTTGCCACAATCATGGTGCCCTCCGAACAGATAAAAAACCCTGTCCATGCAGACAGCACAGCTTCCTGACATAGAGGGAGGCACATCTCCCGTTGTTCTGTGTTTTGTCCTAAGATGGAAGAGGCAAAAAAAAAAAATGAGCTTGAATCAAACAAGAAAACTTTTTATCTTCAATGCTTAGCTGTCCTTCACAACACTGGGAATCAATTTGATACACTGCTTATTTAGCACATACTGATTAGAAGCTAGTTGGCCCAGCAGCACCTGCCTTCCCCAAAATGCAGGCCCTTATTTTTTTTGCGATAGGTACCTTGGTAACGATGTTATTTTTCAGGATGCCATATGAACAGAAATCACATCTTTTAAAATTCAAATGTAATAAACACAGCATTAGCAAAGTATGATTAGGTTGGTTTTAAACAGAATTAAAACATTGGGGGGAGGAAATGTATTTCTGATATTAAAGGAAAGAAAGCTAGGTTCCAAGCAAATTTGGGGAAGTGAATTCTACAGCTATGACATTATAAAGATTCTTTCTGCCCTAGATCGCTTTATATAGCAAGTATATTACCTGGGCAGGAAAAGTAGACTGAAGGAGTCCTTGGGTGCTTTGGTATCAAGCCACAAAGGACTTTAAACAAATCCATCAGGCAATAACCTTATGAAAACTGAATCTGCCCGTCTGGTCTCTTCACTGAGCAAGGATCCAGTGAATCTGCAGACTCTGGATGATATGGCAGCCCTTCTCTTGTAAGATCCCTGAAGGATGGAATACTCTCTCCATGCCTGCGCCCCCCACCCCCCACCCCCAAGGAATTTGAAAGAAAACCCCTCATAATTTTTTTTTTCTATGAAACATTAAAGTCGATAAGCAGATAAGAGGAGATACAGGTAGTCCTCAACTTACAACAGTTCATTTACTGATTGTTCAAAGTTACAACACTGATAAAAGTGACTCATGACCATTTTTCACACTTACGACCGTTGCACCATCCCTGTGGTCACGTGATCAAAATTCAGATGCTTGGCAACTGACTCATAATTTATGACAGTTACAGTGCCTTGGGGTCATGTGATCAGCTATTGCAACAATAGCTGACAAGCAAAATCAATGGGGAAGCCAGATTCACTTAACAACCATCTTACAAACTTGACAAGTGCAGTGATTCATGCAACAACGGTAGCAAGAAAAATGGGGCAAAATTCACTTAGCTTCACTTAGCAACAGAAATTTTGGGCTTAATTTGGTCATAAGTCAAGGACTACCTGTAATGTCTTTTTAAATTAAAGACATTATCTATAAAATTGAATTGAAACAATGAAAGAAAAAAAAATCTGTGGTTCTATTGTTTCAAGTTCCAGCAGCAAAGCTTCTCTTTTTTCCTGGCCTCTGCTGTTGATACTGCATCCTTTCTCACGCCCATGTTTTGCAACTGAATCCCTCCAGTTCTTACCCAGAACAAGGGTAGAAAGGCAACTGTCATGAGTCTTGTGAAACTTTTTTCTGACTCCTTCTAAAAATCAGTAATTGCATGTAACTACACATGACAAAAATTCCATCCTCCGACGGAAGGGGTGAAGGGTATCCATGGAAGTCATTTAAGTGCCTTACCATTGTTTAGTTTCCATGTTATAGATCCAGATTTCATCTCTTGGCAGATAGAAGTCATAAATGCCCCTCACTTGAGCATTCTGAATCAGGAAGGAAGGAAGGAAGGAAGATGCTTCAGTTTAATAAAATATAGCAACGGAGAAGCATCCCAGACTTTTTATGCTAGTTACAGCACACAGATTACGAACTATCCCTCACGCCCAAATATATATTGATAAGCATATCATTTCTGGGCTCAAAAAAGGCAATGCCTCTTTTGTGAAATGCCAATCCTATTCCCTCAAATCATTTTATACCTGGCTTTTTATTTTCATCTCAACATATCAAAATATAGCTTATAATTTTTTAGCCAAGACAAAATGATGGGAATGCTTATCAAATGCAAACATACAAAATGGTGGGATAACTCTTATTTTAGAAGAGAAGCAATTTAAAATTAAGCTTAAAAAATAAATACATTTGAAATGTATTTCTGTATCAGCATGCAACAGGGATTGCACCAATTTGCATATTACCAAAACCCTCACCTTATATCCACCCCAAACAAACATGCATTTTCCATCAGTAACAGCCACATGACCACTCCGTTCAGGTGGGCTGCCCATGCTCAGCTGTTCCAAATTTTCTTCTGTTTCAGGCAGATCTTCCTCTGCTGGCAATTCTTCATTGTCATCTGCCATACTGATAATAGGATATTATCCTTCAAAAATAGAAAGCAGGAATGGATTGTGGCAATTTCAAATATACTTAACCAAAAGGTAGCAACCCCCCCTCCTCAAAGCTTTTTTCTCCATCCGTACTAAATATTTAGATTGAAAAATGCCTTCGGCAGTCCCAGAAAACTAACTTTCACCCGCTTTTCTTATATGTAATAACTTTCAAATTTCCTAGGATTGGTAGAGATTGCTTATCTTGAGAAACCAGATTTTTTTTTACATCAGCAGGGCAGAAGCCAGCTATAGTTTAGGTCTAAAGGTAGTACTTGCTTAATAACCATTCTTTTAGTGACCATTGAAAGTTATGACAGCACTGAAAAAAATGACTTACGACTGTCATAACATCCCCGCAATCATATGATTGTGATTTGGGTGCTTGGCAACATCACACATTTACAACCATAATAGCAACCTATGTTCATACGATTTGTGACCTTCCCAGCCAGCTTCTGACAAGCGAAGTCAATGGGGAAGTTAGCAGGAGGTTGCAAGTTGTGGTCATGCAATGTATCGCTTAATGACTATGGTAAAAAGGTTGTAAGATCGGGTGCAGTCATGTAATGTCTCTTTTAATATGCACCCCTAAACGATAAATTTTCCAGTTCTTATTGTGGTCAGGGACTACCTGTATGCACTTTAGAACTGCATTTGCTTTTCCAACTCTGCAGACTGCGTAGGCACTGTACAAGAAAACAAAGAGAACACCAAGACAGTTTTGAATTAGACTGATTTTTTTTTTTTAGATTTTTCATAACCCACTGAACATATTACAATAGTCTTGATACTACAACCAGGCCTGAATCCTGACTGAAAGGGGGCCAAATAATCCAATTCTTCCAGGATAGTCTAGAACTGTAAACCAATTATCTTCTCAACAACCTTCACTAAGGATGGAAGATTGGCAATCAGACAAAAATTGTCTCAATTTATTGGGTCCTGGTGTAATTTCCTCAACCTGTTATGTTTGCTCCTTGTAAAGATAAAATATGTCTCAAAACAGTGAGGATTATGAAAAGAAAAAAAATAGTCCATATGAATTATCATGCTTGACCAAGATATACAATCCCAAGAGAATGCACATTCAGAATTATTTAACTTCCAATAGGGAACCTTTATCAAGTTAACACAAAGTCACCCACACATCTCTTCCCAATCTTCTGCAAAAAATAATAATTATTTAATTATGCTGAAATTCTTATTCAGAACTTCTCTTGTAAACCACAGTGGGCATCACCAGGAAGAAAACAGAAACAGTAAGAAAATCCAGAATATGATTAATCGGAGATGCTCCAAAAACCTTCACCTGCTAACAACCGAGGCTGTCACCAATGCTTTCAATAGAAAAATCAACCTTGGGCCAGAAAAAGATGGAAAGCAGGTGACGGGAGAAGGAAAAGCTGGTTTTCAACTATTTTCTTTTTTCCTAGTCATGAAAGAAACCTGAGCTTCCCACCCTCATTGTCAGCCTCAAGACTGGGAGGTTGTGCGTCCATGAAACAAAAGCACAACCCAAAGCAGCCATGAAATCTTTGGTGTTGACATGATCTTAAACACAGCCTCTTCTATGGTGTATTTTCATGGATCCCCTCCCACATCCTCCTCCCTAACACAAAATGAAGGAACCACCGCTACGTTTGCCTTTATGGGACTCATGTTTTAGGGTCACGTTAGGCTCGTTCTTAAAATGTTCCCAAAAGGCGCCCCTCTTCCTCCCTGCTCTGTCCGAATAGTATCTCCACCTCCTCATTCTGCCGCAGAGGGAGCTTAAAAGAGCGGGACGCCATTAACGTCAACCGCTTTATCAGCTCACTGATTTCACGACCGCCCCCCCTCCCCTCAATTTAAGCTGAAGTGGGGGAAGGATCCCTTCCCCCAATCCTCCGCCTTACTGTATGCCGGGTCTTTCAGACTGTCAACATTCGGCGACGCAGAACAGACATCCGCCCCACCCATTGTCAGAAGCCCCGCCCCTCTGGTGAAAGGTCGCCTTTCGTTTTTCCTCCCTCTTCAGGCCAGGCGTGGAATTACTTCCCTGGAGGTCTTCCCGTGAGATGTTTATCCGTGGTTTAAGGACAAACCCGTATTTCTGATTTCTGTGATGTAGGCGCAGCACGAAGCGGGAATCGGTGTTTCACGTTAAACCCCCCAAAAAACAGCTTCTAAGATCTTTCGCGGGATTTGGCGAATTAATGGGGCGTTCCCAACATTAGGTAGAAAGATGCAGCTGTATCAGTTCTGGGCGGGTGGCAAATTATTAGTGATATTAGTAGTGGTGTAAGTGAATGGATTGTTAATTTGTTTTATTGTTGTTTCTGCTTTGTCGTCCAAAATCACTTTGCTAGCTTGTGTTATTAGGTACCGTGCCCTGCAGAGGGGAGCCTTTCGTTTTTCAACATCAAACTGCTTGTTAGTGTGGGTGAATTGGGCTTCAGAGCTGAAATGTATAAAATGCGAACTATTGTATACACTTGGCTGGAAATTATTCTGTGAACTGCGGAGGCTGTTGATTGTACAAAACCACATCATTCTAATCATTTTAATGTTTGGGCAATCGCCTTAAGCTGCATTCTGGGCAATGTATGTTAGTTGTGGCAGAACTTACACAACATGCACACCTATGACTTCTCTAACACCTAGCCATAAAAATTTTGAGAGATTGATATTACTAAAAGTCATATTGGAATTTAGCAGAATTAGTTTCCCCAATTGGGGAAACTTAGAAGTTACAATAGTAAGTCTGGTTCTGGTCTTGGCTAATGTAAATAAAAACAAAGGATTAGATCTGCTTAATATTTGCATGCAAAAACAAAAGAAACTCCTTAGATTAGCAAACTGAAAAAACAATTCAGAAGCAATGGCAAACTGTTTTATCCATGCTAAGAAAAGTGCATGTGACAACGACATCAGAAATAATTAAGCTGAATTTTCTTGATCTGCATTAAAAGTTGCATTAATTTTAACATGCTTCCCTCAAAATGGTGAGAAATTGTACAAACAATTTATCAATGATGCTCAGAGGCAACAATTAAGTGTGAACCAGAGAATGCACTTTTGCCCACCTTGCTGTATTCAATGACATTGCATCTGAGGTCCTTATCCCCACTAGCAATAGGGTCAGGCTGACTGAAAGGGAAAAATGAAATAAAATGCTGCAAATGAGTGCTTCTGTTCAGAGGCTTGCTCTTTTTTTAGGCACTTTTCAATTCTCCCCTCAAATTTTCTTACATGACTGTCCTTGGGATTCCACCTTTCCTTTCAACATGCTTTTTTTGCAGGGTCCTTCTGTGGGAAGCCCCGCTCCCCGAAGAATGAAATATTTTGAGGAATATTAAAAAGGCGGAATATTGTATTTCCCTAAATGAGAAATGAAGAAACATGTTTTTTAGAGGCAGGAAGCAGCTCCCAAGTCTTTCTTAATAGCCCACAGTTGATGCTAGCACTTAAGAGATAAAGAGCTTATTGAAAGAGAAAGACAAGTATCTAGATAGCTCTATTCATAAGCAAAGCAAATACTGCAGGCAGAAATCCATTCAAGACAGGATATTTTGAAACTCCCTGCAGCAAAGTCTGAACAAAGGCAGAATTAGAAGTAGCCCCTCACCCAAGACAGGATGAAAGCCATTAAGCCACAATAGGAATTGCCCAATACCCTTTCAGAAGACACGCCCCTTCATTGCACCATCCCAGAGCAGTCCAAACTTCAAACCTGGGAGCTCAGATAAGTCAGAGGTTGACCAGATTAGCTCAAACACCTAGGATTTGCATTTTCTCTTTTGCCTATAGAGCCACTACGACCCCTATATAACGCCTACATGACCCCATAGGAATCAGGCAACAGCCAATAGAATATTAAAGGACATGTTCTTGCACAGGAACAGGAAGCTCAAATACAAAGCCCAAAGAAAGTATAACCTCCCCCTCCCAACTCCATTTTGTCAGCTGCATGAGAACCATAAACACTGGTGATTCTGTTCATCATTAAACCATCTTTCCAATCAGCCTCCGTATTTCCAGTGTTTTTCTCCCAGCTTGGAACTGAACCATATGGATATTTCTTCCAACACTTCAAGCCTTTCCTAGTATTTACAGGAAGTAATAAGGACACTATATAGAGGAACTAAATGTTTCCGCACAGTATTCTGCAATGCCAATCCCCTTTTAAAATTGATTTTATCTTGAAAGAACATCGCTTAGCATTTTCCACTTTGATACTCCTTTGAATACCTATTTATCTATTGTATCTGTCCAAAATCCAAATCATCAAAATAAACCTGAAATTAGCAAATACTGGGGCATCCATGTATATTTTTATCCCAGGAAAAAAAATTCACCTCAATAATTTTAGTATAGCTTTTAGACCTATTCTTTTGTTTAAAGAAACCCCTTTATTACCAGATGAACATTTTTGGTAATTGTCATTTAGCCAAATATTTTTTGTTTGGCAAGCTACCCAGCTAATGAGAAGGAAACCTTACATTCCCCTTTTAATGTCTAAAATATTCCTGCACAAAGAATAAGGCAGCAAGTATCATTTATATCTTGCCTATTGATAGTCTATTATAAAAAATCTCCTTAAAGGGATATAAAAAGAGTATTTTATATGGCATAATCTACCCAAATATTTTAGCTTCATATGAGCTTAATTATTACTATAATTAAAGTTCAGGAGTAGAACTACCATACTTTTTCAAGGTTTTGTTCAAAATGGCACAATGGCAAGAGACTAACGGATGTTCAGTAAATTACATTCAGACTCTAACAAGTGTTAATCACAAAACACAAAAAGAATAGAAAACAGGATTTTATAAACACTTTTTACAATAAATTAAGGACATATTTTCAACTGTTAAAATACGAAGTTTATACAATCAACAGAATAAGCAACTTTGTCAAAATGTTGTGAAAGGATTTTGAATTTGTACATTTTTTAAACACAATTCAACTTTTTTTTTTTTAAATCCTTTTCAAATACCAGCAGAAGGTAAACTACCTAATATGACCAAACACCATTTTTACTGTTTGGAACCCCATTATCTTTAATAACAATAATCAAATCAAATTGCTCTTAAGTCCAAGAATATTTTTAATCTTCAGCGCCTTGAACTGGAGCTGTTATGACACTGATAACCTTTGAAACTGTTTCTTGCGCATCCAGAAATTTAGAATTTAGTTCAAACAATTTACCAATAATAGTCAGTGTTGTTTGTTTTAAAATGATAACGGAACTGTTGTTTAAAGGACATTAATTTACTCGTGCTCCTCTGCTTTGGCTTTTTTTTTCTGACGATGATTAACAGCAACCCAAAAAGTTATCTTATTCACAACTTCTTCCAGAAGTCTAGATGGCAACCACGGTATTTGTTTCTCCAAGAGAACAGCATTTTTACCAATACAATCAAGACTCAATCTAAAAGAAACAATATGAAGGTTATAAAGTTTTTCTCTCTATAAGTTACATAGTAGTAAACTAGTTAAAACATCTAAGAATGGCAATATGCACTCCAGTGGTGGTATTCAGCTGGTTCTATCCAGTTCGGGAGAACTGGTAGTGGCAGCTGCGAGAGGCTCTGCCCATCCACACGGACATCATCATGTCACATTTTTGACGCTCTGAGCATGCATGGAAGGTAAGTGAACACCACCCCGATGCACTTTCACAGCAATGTTCTCAGTCTTAATACGTCAGCTCTTTCATTAGATAACTATTACTGAAAATAATCTATTCTTTGTTAGAATTTTATTGAAACATCATACTTTTTATGATTTGCTTGAATCATAGATTATGGATTTGTCTTAAACAGCTGCTATATAATAATGACACAGGAGAGTTTATATTAAGAATGCAAAATGTATTAAAATTTCTATAAGAGAAAATATCCTTTCATTAATGGAAAACAGCCACCGTGTGTACACAGCATTGCTTGACTCTCAAAACAATAGGACATATTTAATATCCTATTACATATTTAATATGTAATATCAATTATATATTTAAATGTCTATGGAGATTCTCAGTTATCCAGGTCATGGTTGTCCCAAAGGTGCTTTTTTCAAGAGGCAAGCGGACTTTCTGGTTTTTCTCTGAAGACATTTCGCTTCTCATTCTCCAAAGCATCTGAGAGTAGGACAAGAAACAATGGGTGGAAACTAATCAAGGAGAGAAGCAACCTAGAATGAAGGAGAAATTTCCTGACAGTTAGACCAATTAATCAGTGGAACAACTTGCCTCCAGAAGTTGTAAATGCTTCAACACTGGAAGTTTTTAAAAAGAGATTGGATAACCATTTGTCTGAAATAGGGTTTCCTGCCTAAGCAGGGGGTTGGACTAGAAGACCTCCAAGGTCCCTTCCAACTGTTATTCTATAGAGCTCTGCCTGGATGGTGGGGAATGGAAGGATTTATATTCCTTGCAGACAGCTGGTATATAAATCCTTCCATTTCCCACCATCCAGTCAGAGCTGAAGAAGCTTCTTGGATGAGAAGCAAAATCAAGAAAAGAAAAATCAGAAAGTCCAGCTGCCTCTTGAAAAAGCATCTTTGGTGTTACAAATTTAGGTTTCCGCATGTCAGAGTCCTTTAAATAGCTCTGCACACTGGAGTTGTTATATAAGGATAGTTATTCCTGTAATAGTTGCTATTAGTATTTGCTGAAGTATATTATTCTGGAGGCTTTACAATATTATCAGGTTTTTTTTTCTCAACTCACCTGAGAAGTGAATATGGTTGTGTTTGAAAAATCAATAAATCACTGCAATGTCCCTAAGGAAGAAAAAAAAACAATGATTTAAAATATATGCAGTTCTCTTTCCTACATAAGTATTGAAAACAATATACACAATAAAAAAGTGTCAAAGCTACCAGTTTTTAAACCAAAAAATGCAGCAAAGCAAGACAAGCATGGTGGTGTGTATTCTGGAATTCTTTTGAAATTCTTAATAGTAGATCTATCCTGTGACCAAGTGTAAGTAGGATTAAAAATGGAACAGCCTGACACATTTCAAACTGTTGCCCAACTGATTCTCTCATAGAGATGTGCTGGGAAATGTTTTTCTGATTGTTTTTTCCCCACCACAGCATCCAGCTGGAACTAATCATTTTTTGTTGTTGTTACTAGCTTCTCCTGCCACATGAACTCAGATCCTGTTTTGTTCACTTTTTGGAGAGTTATACTACTGATGGAAACAAATATATGCCGAGTCCCAAATCCTGGTTTTTCCCCCCAGAAAATTCATTTGTTTTTTCACTTTCATCCAAGCCCAGAATATGTTGATCCCATGGTTCCAGTGTTAAAAAGTAACAAGTATCAAGTTTTACTCTCAATCTTTGAAGCTAGAGAGGGGATGTTAAAACAAAGTGGAATCTTGCTCTGGCTTGTTCAGGGCAGAAAAAGTGATTGAGTGCTAGATCATCCCTTAAGGCATGGAAGCCAGACTCATCTCACACTGTTGTTGTTAGAAAAGGAATAATGATGCATGCTGCCTTGAATTATACAAAATAAAGGTGGGATATTAACATCTGGCCTCCACTAAAATGTTGTTTTTTATATACTATATGTAGGATATGCCTGTAGAAAAAGCAAACTGGATGAAATAATTAGAACTTTTTAACTCCGTGCACACTGAATATAGCATGAAAATTAGACAATGCTGTGAAAAACTAAAGCAAAGTATTTTCTGGGTCTCCCGATGCCACTGTCATTAGGAAGAATCAAAACTGATCCCAAATTATCTTCTCTCCTTAAATATTCTGCCATAAAAATGCGGAATGTGCATTTCCTTTAAAATGTATAAAAAGCAATTAGATCCTTTAAGGTACTTACCCTATCCAGGAAATGCAAATCATCTTTACTTCCTCCAAAGACTAATACTTCACCTTCTTTGCCAGCACAGGCTGTATGCCATAACCTAGAATGTATTATACTTAGAATGAATGCTTAAATAACTGATTTTGGAGAAGCATTTACTTACATGTTTTAGAGGTTCATATTATATCTACATTATAGGACCTTTCACTTAATATCCAACATATAATATCTATATTGTCTTAAGAGTGATTACTCAATTCTTTAGAATATTTTGAACGTTAGTAGTGAACGAAGAAATTTAAATCTTACTGATATTTTCCTGTTTACTATTAGTGGACTTACTTTCTTAACAAGAAGAACAGGAAGAATTTTAAAAATTAGTAATGCATTTGATTCAATCTTAAAAATGGTTTGCACTGATGAGTGATGGTTTAAATATCAAAACAGCTTATTCTATCTCTATAAAATAGATTATATAATACTTTAAGTACAATTTAAACTTGTTTTATACTATTCATGAAAATGTAAAAAATTCTTTTAATATTCATATTCATTGAAATTTGGCATGAATATCAAAGTATGAGTATTCAAGATGGCATCACTTAGAAACTCAGCTATCTGAAATATTTTATTTTTCCAGTCGTGGCATTAATTTAAGGCAACCCCTAGTCATTATTCATTAGAATTTGTATTTCTTTTTACAAGAAATGAAAGCTGTGAAAATGCTGGACTAGGATCATCTCTTCTTTCTTTACTTTCTTTACTATAATCTTCTTTAACATTAATTGTCTGCCTGCATTAACTGGAGAAAGAAATCATATGGACCAACATTCTTTTCTATCACTATATAGGCTGGCAGTGGGTTGAATAGAAAGGCACTATGTGTGTTAATAAGTTGGAAGTGTGATGCGTCTTTCTTTTAAAAAATCAAGGAAACAGGCAAAAACAGAGATGAGATCTATTTGACTAAAAAGACATTTGGGGGCAAAAATGTACCAAAAATCATAGCAACTCTACATAGAATGCAGTTTTCTATGAGTATTACCTGAGCTGTAATAGTTCCATCTTCTTACTTTACTATGAATCATGAACATGATTGGGAACCAAAGTAAATAGGGCACTCTGTTCTCCCATTCCTCCTTTGCATCCTACAAAAGTTGGGTGTTATTTTGCACACACTAGTGCAAAGTAAACAAACTGATGCAGGGCATTGCCTTTGGGTCCCCCCACCCCCGTTTGCTAAACTGCCAGAATTATTGGAGTTTGGTGGCATAGAAATTTGCACTATAAATAAATAGACACAGATATAGACTGTTGAGAATGCAACTCATTTGTATAGGATCACAGCAAGAACTGTTAGGACAGCTTCACTGTGTGTGAAGTCATTTTCTGGAAATTAACAGATGAAACTCATTGGGTAATAAGATTGTGAGATTAGTTCCCTTTTATTTATGTACAAAGTATGTGCAAGATTACTGTAAAACTTACTTCATTCATTTATTTCAGCAATTATATACCATTCTCCTTACACTAAACTGTATCCCACCTGTTCTCTTCCTCATACCTGTTGATAGCTCTGCCTCTGTCTTATCTGCATTAGGAAAACTCTGGCCTGGATTGGATCATCGCAGAACACTGGAATGCCTTTCCTGCCTTCACTCTGGGCCTTGACTCCTAGCTTGAAACCTGAGGCTTTTTCTATTGACTGACAGAGTTTATGTCCTCTCACAGCTGCTCTAACTTAGCACCTAGACATTCTAATAAAGCATGTTATTTGCATTATTAATCAACTAAATTAACATCATCTGTTTAAACAAATCCTTGTCAAAAACTACAGTATCTGTTGTAATTCAAATATACCACATTATAACTGAATTGTACACATATCTGCTGGCATCTAAATCAGAAAATTGAGATCTGTAGTGCATAATGTACATAATTAGTTTAATAAGGTAAAGAATTACCCCTCAAAAGTCAGATGTTGTAAATCTGATCTTCAGCATACTTATTTGAATAGCAGGATAAGGGGGCAATATTTATCAGCTTATTTGTTGTAATGTCAATGGATAAATTATAGATTAATACTATAAAGTTTTTATATACTGGTTTCCCTTTCCCCAATAAAAATAATATTTTGGTGAATTGTACTGTTACATTCAATATTAAATTATGAAGTTCTGAAGAGAGCTTGCATATCTTCATATTATCAGAGCAAAAATACAAATGTCAATATAATCAATATACTTATCTAAAATCTACAAAATATAAAAAAGCATTGTAAAGTAATAGAATTCAAACTATAACAATCTTACTATAAAATGAAAATTTTTCAGAGGTCAAAAGGACAAGGTCTCTTATTCATTTTCTGTCTCTGGTAAAGTGTCTCTCTGGTAACCACTCGCTCATCTGAGGTATTGCAGCCCTAATGATCATGTATTTGAACTTAAGAGTACTCAGACTCAAGACCTTTCCCCTTTCATCTACATGAAACCCACCTATATGAAATTCAATATGCAAGATTCATAAATGTTTGATCTATTTTGATTTATTCTAGAGATATTGTAATGTTTCATTCTGTCTTATTTTGTGTTCAAAATTTGTAATTACAAGTGGTCTCTGTTTAATGACACGTGTTCAGCAATTATTAGTGCTGAATGAGTGGTAGTTACAACCAGTCCTTCCACCTATGGCCATTACAGCATAACCATAGTCACATGATTACAATTTACGACCTTCCCTGCCAGCTACCGGTACCAACAACCAAGGCCAATGGAGAAGCTGGCAGGAAGTCACAAGTCTGGGTCACTTGAAGCCCTCACTTAGTGACCTACAGGTTTCTTGCTTAATGACAACAAATGGAACTGCTGGAACTGCCGCTAAGCAGTGCAAGCTTTTTGACATATGACCACATTGCTTAAAAATTAGAGTATTCAGTCCCAATTAGCACTACTACCTTAGGACTATCTGTAGTTATTTTTACTCTTATGAGTGACTAGATAGTGACTATGGACATAGAGATATAGCACGGATGTATGATCTTACTTCTGTACTTATGTGTTTCCTTCTCATACACATATTTTTGAAAAGGTAGGATTAAGTGGCCAATGTTTGCTTTCCTAACTTCAGGTACTATGAAGCAATATTTGTTGAAATTCCTGTGCCTCTTTCCTCAAATAAATGCACTAGGAAGGAAACCTGAAAAACTAAACAAGTATCCTTACAGTTTATGGGTTTTTTTCTGATAATGGCAGCCTTATTCAGGCTTTTGCCCACTAGGATAGAGAAGTGCATGTAAAGGACCATTAGTTCCTGACCTCCACAGGTTGAGTAAAGATGATTTTTCCTGCTTTCAGAGAAGCATCAATCCAGTTAAAAAAACATACACAATTTTATGGAGGTCTTCACTGGCGTTAACGGGCCCCAGCTTGAAGCTATTTTGGGGTCACATTATTAAGCATGGAGAAAACAAAAGCTATGGCATGGGATACATTTGAGTGAACATACTGTGGGTGGAACTACAATACGAGACATTTTTACCCTTTTTTAAGGCATAAGGTCTGAACAGAACTATCAAAACAAATTATTTTTAATAACTTTGCTGACAACTATAGGAAATATTTAAGCAGTCAAATCTGGTAAAATGATAAAAACAGAAATTGTACTATGTAATTTAAGCCATGTTTTTAAGTTAATGAATTGAAGCATGTGAATTATAAATTTCAATTGTTACACAATTTTGTTTTTCCCCATTATAATACCATGCAAAATGACTTCTGAGGGCTATAGGACTCTTTGGAATTGTAATAGATATGACAACAGGCTATGACTGGGAAAATGGGAGCCTGGAGAAACTGTGAGTGATGACTACATGAATAGCTAGCAATAGCACTTAGACTTATATACTGCTTTATAGTGCTTTTACAGCCCTCTCTAAGCGGTTTATAGAGTCAGTATATTGCCCCCAACAATTTGGGTCCCCATTTTGCCCACCTCGGAAGGATAGAAGACTGAGTCAACCTTGAGCCTGATGAGATTTGAACTGCCAAATTGCATGCAGCCGGCAGTCAGCAGAAGTAGCCTGCAGTACTGCATTCTAACCACTGTGCCACTGTGGCAGATGTTCTTTTCTACTTTTATAAGCCAAAATTAGATCCACAAAGGAGAATATTTATAGTTCAGGATTGAAATGAGGAGTCCTTGGTGCTCTCTGAGCTTGATTGTTTTCTTGCAGTGCACTGATGATGTTACCTAGTTTGGGTAATAATGAAACGTCTACAAGAAAACAACCAAGCTTAGAAAGCATCAAGGATACCTCAACATTAGATCAAAATCTATATTTGAATTCTCAAAATTAAACAATTACAAAGTCTTATATTCTTCAATTTCAGGATATGACTAGCATATTATACCTAGGTCTAGTCTGTGGTAAATATGTAAGTTGTTGCCATTCATTTGTTGCAACATCATAAATCCAACCATCACCTGAAAATAGAGATAAAAAGATTAGTGCTATTGTTTTTATTTAAAAGTGACAAGAAATTATGTAACAAATTGTTCTGTATTGTAGGTGAATGATTTTCAGCATGAAAAATAGGTGCTATCTTGACCAGGACTTAAAAGAAAAGCAGGTACTAGTTTAGTAGGTTTTTACATTGTTCTTTGACTATAGTACTTTTCTTCCTTTTTCCATCACTTAGCTCACCTCAGTTTCAGAAGTAGCTGGGAAGAGTAGTATTGCTTATTTTCTTAAAAAAAGCAATCTACTCTCCTTTAAGTGACCTGAATCTTCATTTCAGAATATGGCAAATGTTTCATTAACATTTGACTTTTCTGCATGGACTTTAAGTCATACTGTTTAAATTAATTAAGCAGCTTGGTTTATTACCATTTTGTCCTTTTGTTTGCTGAAAACCAGTTTGAGATCATTAATGGTACTGTTCAAAGTCACGCTGCTAATGGACACTAACTGTGATCCAGGCACTTATGCGTCTGCCTCACTATTACTGTGTAACATTGCAGGGAGCCGCAGTTGTATGATTGCCATTTGCAATCATAAGCAAACTCAATGGAGAAGCTGTTAGGGCAGATCGCAAGCCATGTTCAGGCTCTGTGGGTCCTTCCAGATCTTCTCCTGCCTTCCCATGACTTGCATACAGCCTGGGCCAACCCTCCTCTGGCCTCCCATACAGCCTGCACCAGCCCTTTCTTGCCTTCCTGCAACCCATTCTCCCTACCTGGGATTCTGCTTCTTCCCACTTAAGGACCTGTGCATTTTGGGACTACAACAATAATTGTGACTGCCAAGCAATGCAGCCACATGACATGTGCACTTTATAAGTGCATCACTTAGTGGTGGCAATCCCAGTCCCAATTGCCATGGTAACTCAAATACTAGCTATATCTGTATCACATTCTCAACATTTCAGGACAAATGCTACTTACTTAAGGGTACATTGTCTGAACTCAGCCCACCAAATAGGAAAAGTTTCCCATCTGCCACAGGAGTCAACGTGTGCCATGATCTGTCTCTTGGTTTTTCTCCATTTGTAGCAATTCTAAGTAGAAGAGCAATCAAAAGCACAACTGCTTATAAAATTCAAACAAACAAATCCCAAATAATTATTGAATATTACAGCATGGGGGATGGATGTGAAGAAATATTTCCTAAGGCAGCTTATATAATATAAATTGTTTATTTCATTAACTGCTGAAACTGAATTGTATAGATTCAAAACAACTAGGATTCAATCACTCCTTTGAGCTTTCTTCGGTTGACAACTCAACTAAACCAGGAAGCAAGGAGCCATGTTATAATCACCAATTTCTGCAACTTACAAGTAACACACACACACATAGGTTTTTCATTTATTTATATATTTATTTAGGAAATTTATTTGCCACCCATCTCGTATCCAACTAAATCTATATATGATAGTTAATATGAATTGTCAGCCTGACAATCTAATGTATAACTAAAAATAAATCTCTTCATTTCTCTGTAAAAATTCTTAGAAACTTCATCTAAGAAATCCTTGCAGTTTAATAAAATCATAAGATGTGTTTTGTTGACCTATTTTCTTCACTTTTAAATTTTACAATTTAAAATTTAAAAAACTTTTTAAATTAAAGCAGTCTACAACAGCAAAAGGATGGATCATAGCAAAATCAGTCGCTGATATTGTGAGGGAGGAAACTTAACTTTAAGTGCTTTTGCATTTATATTTAAGTTGGTCTTTTATCCTCTGAAAATTTCATCCACATAATATGCAGAAATCCATCTATAAATTATAAATTTGTTTACTATCATAAAAACATTATTATGTGACATTAATAGAAATAGTAGTGATTTATTATCAAAAAGCAAATCCCAAGAAAATGTTCAAAACTAACTAACCATTTAACTAGGGTATTTATATACAACAGAAAAAACGACATTGAAGAAAAAAACTTACTTTCCTGACCAAACCCAGGTGTCTAAATTCAGAGAATGTAAATCATTCATCCTTGTTTGCTATTTAAAAAATACAACATCCATTTTATTTTAAAATAAAATATAGTATCAATTTCAGTTTATAAATTCCTCAGATAAGAAAATTTATCTAACTGTATCAATTGAGATTATGTATATTATGGTCAACAAGAACATGAAGAAAATAAATAGTATTGTTATGTAACTGTTCTCATACTATTTCCATTCTGTTATGTTCATTTGAATTATGTAATTTGATTTTCAACAAAATCAAATTAAACTATTCAGCATAAAGTTCCAAGTGACTATTCAACTCAACTAATTCCTACTAGCCTAGAGTGTATGTGTGGTCACATTCCATTTACAGTATTTTTCAGAACACACAGGTAAAGTATTTTAGAATTTCTGGTTTAAGACTGAAGGGCTTCATCTTTTTCTGCTGAAGCCTTTCAAATAAATACTCCTTCCTTTTTTGGTGCATGATTACTTGCTGCCGTTATCCAGAATGAGCAGCATTAAACCCACTTAGCAGCTGCTGGACAGCTCTACACGTAAAAATATTAGGCTAGATGGACAACAGTCTCATTTAATATAGTGAACATTCTTCTTTCCTATTCTTCAATAAGCCCTTTTAAGTCTTTGATGACTAAATTTTGGAATCAAGTTACAGCCAGAGAAAAAGTGAGGGGAAAAATTCCTCATAGCAATATTTTAACAGTCTCTTTTTACTTCAGAAAGATATATTTTTCCTTTCCTGCATTAAAGCATCCTTCTCATAAAAAAATAAATGGGCACTGAGTACAAACCAAAACCCGTCCTCCAAAAACATAGCCTGTATTTCCTATGACTGCACATGAGTGAGCTGCTCGAGGCTGAGGTGCAATTCCACGCTGCAAGCAAGAGAATAACAGTAATCAGAATATGCCTACAACAAATATGTTGTGTCACCAATGCACCTGGCTATATCTATACACAGAGTTACAACGCTTACTTTAATTTTTGGCTGATACCAAGTTTGAGTACTTGTATCAAAAACATGGACATCATTGTGCCATCCCCAGAATATTTGACCTTCCTAAAAAAAGTAAAAGACATTAGAAGTAGTAGTAATAATAATAATTTAAAAAAACACAATAAAAACACTAATAATAAATCAGCTTCTATTTTTTGCTTGTAATTAAATTTTATCTTACCCAAAATGCATCATGAACATCAAAACAGTCACTTAGCTCATTTTGTTTCCTACAGCCATAACCACCAAAGTAGATTAACCTGAAATAATTGGAATTAAAATTACTAATTAATTTCTCTGCAATAATCCTAAGAATACTATAGTTCTGCCCTTTCATTTTCCACAAGACTTCTCAAATGTCACCTGTAGTAATCTGTTTATTTGCCTTATATGTATTCCCAACTCTACATAAATAAGAAAGACATCCAAAGTATACTACTTTTCTGTCAGCAATGCACTGGCAATATCAAGAGAAAAATGAATTCAATATTCAAAACATTTTACCTTTTAAAAAATCCTAAATATTACAGCCTATTGTTATTTACTTATAATGTAAGTGTTGTTCATAGTAGTATATCCCACTGATAAATGTTATCAAACCATTAAGTTACCAGATATTTTTTCATCAGCTATCAATTTCCTCCCCATTTATGAAATCATTTATGGAATTACCTGTCTTTATACACCCAGCAAGCAAGCTTGTCACGTGGTGTAGGAGGCTGACCTTTAAAGTCTGTGATTTGCTTCCATACATAAACTCCATTTTTTGTTCGCAAATTAACATGATAGAGCTTTAAAGAAAATTAAAATATACAATATTTTAATATTATGTTTAATATATAAACATAAGTGCTAACGGAAAAAAGATAGTGAATTGAAAAATCAATATTCCATTACTATTTTAATGAAAAGGATTAAATTCTCTTATTTCCAATATTTAAATAAGCTTTTGTGCTAACAACATTCAGACATTTTCTAATTGTGAAATTGTGATCTGTTTTTGAACTGATGCTCCCTTTCAGGCCAAATTCTAGTAACGAAAATGCTTAGTAGTTCCAGTGAAGTGAAACTAACTGCAAATTTAATGCCCATGGTTTTCAGAAAAAACAAATATTGGAAACTAAATTTTCCTCACTGCATGGACCTACAAAAACAAGTTACTAAACAAGTAATGTTAGTGAAACCAAGGTATCCCAAACTAATACATTCTAATTTAAAGTATGAAGACCTGATGGCCATAAAAGGCCTTAAGTTAAAGTCTTAGAATTTTTTATGATGCTTCTATTTTTTTCTTCCGTTCAATCATGTCTGATACTCTTAGATCAGGGGTGTCAAACTGGCAGCTTGAGGGCCAGATGCATCATGTGCAGGCCATGCCCACCAGGGGTGGGTTCTAAATTTTTTTACTACCGGTTCTGTGGGCATGGCTTGATGGTCATGTGACAATTATTTAGGATTTAGCAGAGGTACTGGTCTACCAGGCTTTTAACTGCTTGCAGAGCTGTACCGGTCTACCCATTTATTTTTTGCAGGGACTTGTCTACTCATGTATTTTTGCAGGCACTGATCTACTCATGTATTTTTGCAGGCACTGGTCTACTCATTTGTTTTCTTTTAACACTGATCAGCTGTAGGGCTGCCCTTTGAAGCCCGCAGCAAGAGTTTAAACAGGTTTTTTCCCTCTAGCCATCAGCTGGGACTCAGGAGGCAGCAATAGATTGGGGGAGGGCCAAATAAAAGGTAAGAATAATGTGGGGGTCGGTGGGTGGGTGGCACGGGGGGGGCGCGAGTGGGCAGAACCGGTTCAGTGACATCATATCGTCACCGCTACTGGCTCGGGAGAACTGGGCCGAACCGGGAGGAACCCACCACTGATGCCCACCCCAGCTTCACGAAGGGAAAAAATGTTGCGAAGCTTCATGTGACGGCAACATGATGCTGCAAGTTTGACACCCGTCAAGTCTCTGCAGTTTTCTTCACAAGGTTTTTTGAAAGTGGTTTGCCATTGCCTCCTTTGTAGGGCTGAAAGAGTGACTGGCCCAAGTTTGGTTCTCTCCTAAACATATTTATCAATAAAGTCCCACTGCTATCAAACGGTAGTTCTGTTGGTCATCATTCACCTGGAAGTGATATCAAGATGTAATTAACATTGGTAGTACTTACGTTTAGCATACAAGAATTAACAATGCTAAATATATTCATTCTGTGAGATATGTTATTTTTATTTATCCCGGATCTGCGCTCCTTCCGCCGTGCTGTGAAGACCTTTTTATTCCATCAAGCGGGCTTGGCCTAATCTCTTCCCTTTTTAAATATGTAAATTTTAATCTGTTTTTAAATTATTGGGGTATTTTAATTTGTCTGGGCCAAATAATTTAATTTGATTTTATCGGGTTTTTAAATTTTGTGTATTTATGTATTTTATTGTTGGCTGTTCACCGCCCTGAGTCCTTCGGAAGTAGGGCGGTATACAAATCAAATAAACTAAATTAAACTAACTAAACTATTTCCCATACAGCATTTATGTCATATACAAGAAAGATTATACTGTCAAATGAAAAATAAACTATGCCATATGAGGTATTCAAGTACCTAGATATCCCAAAATTATTATCTGTGCTGATTAGTCTTTATCTGTGAAAAATCCCAAATTCAGATCTTATTCTTGACATTTCTTGATCATTATAAATTCTTACCACTATGTATTTTAAGTTTTAATATAGCTACAACAATGAATCATAAAAACATAAATGTGAAACACAAAAAGGTTAATACATAAAAACATGGAAGAATTATAAATATATAAAAAGATACAGTTCAGTTTTAAATAAATTGAACAATATTTTTCACCATTTAAGACATTTCTTATTTTGTTGGGAAAGTTTTTAACAATGAAAGGAATCCAATACCCGATTGCTGTATCCTTTGTCATCAAATCCTCCAAAGATATAGAGCTTCCCATTAATGCAAGCTCCACAGCTTCCAGACATAGATGGAGGTAACTCTCCTTTCATTAGATGCATTGACCTGCAATTCAGGCAATACAGAATATACTTTAACTTTGCTCAGAGTGTATGAGAAACAGATAAAAGAAATAATACTTTTAAGTACTTTGAAATAATATTTTTGCCGAAAAATGTTATCTACCTCAATCTATGTCATTCTCTTCCAGTCATTATACATTAGTACTCCCAAACTTGATGCCTACCAGATATGATCATTACATGTCATTATTTTCAGGCAACATAAGGTATAAGTAAATTGGGGGAATTATTTCATCACAATCAGGTAAATACACTGGAAACAATAGCAACATTCTTTGGCTAGTCCAATACTTTTTGACTCATTCCTAAAGGAGAACAGAACCTTCTAGTTACAATAGCCTCTGAGAAGGAAAAGTATTATCACTGATATCCATTTCCAAATGCATTAAAATCACATAAAAATTAACAGGGCTCTTTTATACAATGTAGGCAATCTAGGATTGGTTTGTCCAGTTAATCAAGTTACCTAAATTTCCACAAAATACTGAACCATAAATTGTACTTGCTGTAACCTAGAACTAGCCAGTCATATTTCAACATATTCTGGCATGGAAATCTAGCCTTAAGACCGTATTTCTTTTTCAAGAAATTAATTAAAAGAACAAGGAAGTAAAAAGCTTATTTAGCTAAAATAATAATTTCAATAAATAAAGTTTCTTATATAAATTATCTTCTGATAAATTAACAGTACAGTAAATAATGTAACTTACCATAATCCACTGTCAATTTCATAAATCCAAAGTTCATCATTTGGTAAATAAACTTCATTTTCTTCAATAGACTATGCAGAAAAAAACAGTAGTTCTGACATAATTTTTATTTTCAAAAAGCCACATGTATTTCTGAATACTTTCCATTTCAAATTCTAGCTCTATAATAGATAACTTGGCCTGCTGGAGCATTGTTTTAGTAATCATAAAGCACACACATTATTTTCCTTTCATTTACTATCAATTACATGCATAACTCAGTGTACCATTCATTAGTCTTTTGTTGGAAAGGAAATTTCAAGTGGCAAATCAGTGAAATCATAGAAAGTGACACTGCAGATCTTAGCACATTTTAAAGGTACTTAGTAGTATACTTATAATTTATGTCTGCAAGAATTAAATATATGTTGACAGAAAAGTAGTATATAAAGAATTTGTTGAAAATTATCATAATCTCACTGCAAATATTGCCAATATCCCAGAACTAGGACATTTATCCCATAAATATAAAAAGCTTTGCATTTATGACACCAGTTATCATTAGCGATCCTATATATTTTGCCATTTCCAGAATACCAAAGCCCAATAGTAATGGTAATAGATGTCCTTATTCCAAATTAACTCTAATGAAATAATGCTCATGAAAGCAGTGAAGGAAATCCTTTACTTTGCAATGAATTATTATAATAATAAAAGCAATATATTTAGGGGAATAAATAGTGATTATATTTTCCTTTTCTTGAAGGGCAGGAAAAGACTGGTGATTTGATAGTTTGGTCATGAGTAGCTTGTACAAATGGGGAGAAACACATCCTAACCATATTGATCATCTCCCTTATCCATAAGCCAGTCACATCTTGGCTGTTAACACCTAAATAACAAATGATAGACCTCAGATCTCCTCCCATCATGCTATATTCTCAATTATTCTAAAAATAATTGAAATTAACTGGATAGGGGGCTAGCTTGCATCATCTGCTATCCTAAAACAGGAGACCAAGTCAAGGCAGCTCCGACTGACAGTAACAAAGAAAAATGTGATGTCATCAATGATCATAGTGTTCATTTACAAATGGGATTGAGATAAATTGATAGTCTCATTTGCTTGGAGATGCACAAATTGTTACGTCTTGACCAGCCAGCCATTTGGCATAAAACTAATCAAGTCAATGGAAGCACTCAGCACTCAGTTGCTTCACTCTTGATACTGATTACATCAGAATGGCTGGGTTCCAATCTAACACTAAGCCAAGCCAAGCCATAAACCATGACTTTAAACCCATGAGATCATAAATGGTTAGCCCAAACACAAACTTTTAAGGATTCAGTATACAAGCAGTCCTCGGTTTACCACCATTCCTTTAGCAACTGTTCAGTCACAATGGCTCTGAAAAAAAAGTGATAACTGGTCCTCAACCATTGCAGCACATCCCCTGGGGGGCGAGGGGGGGGGGCAAAATTTGGGTTGCCGTATCCTGGGATGCATTCTTCCCATCTGGCTTTCCACAAGCAAAATCAATGGGGGAAGCCAAATTCACTTAGCAAAAGATTGTCAAGTTGGGTGCGACTCCTTACTTCATATTTTACATAACAATGGAAATTCTGGTTCCAATTGTGGTCTGAAGTTGAGGACTATCTGCAACTATCTGGGTGTCTTGAGTGGGAACTCAAGACACCCATAAGGGACATTATTAACAGCTCCTAGGCTTTCAAATCTGCCTCCGCAGACAAGGAAAAGAATAGTGCCACACTTTTAAGACAAAGGCGAGTTTATTATAGCAAACCATCTGACACAACAGGTTGTCAAGCTTCTTAAGGCGCCACGAGATTCTGGCGCTCAAATACAATATGTAATTCAGCCTCCTGGAGGCGGGGAGAGAGGCGGGCCAGCTGCTGTCTCACGAGGCGCCACCGTCCAATCAGGTAAACAGCTGTCAAACACCCAACCTCCTCCTCCCCCATCCACGTCCAAAAGAGGCGCGTGCCCCTTTTTCTTTCCCGCCCATTTCGCTCTTGAAGGAGGAGCAGCAGCGAGCTTTCTCTTTAAAATAACACAGGGGAGGGGGAGGGGGAGGGGGAGGGGGGGGAAAAGGCGAGATAAACCGAACTGCTTCTCTCGCCCCTCCCCCCGCCCGTGGTTTCTTCCATTGCACGGTTAATACGAGACTGCTTTTTTTTTTCTTTCCCACACGTATTTGTCCAACCATTCGGCTTCCCCGTTGACCCTAATTTCCTTACCACATATCCCCCCCACACATAAAGACAATTCCCATCGACCACGGCGCAATGCCCGCTCCGTTCCTCGGCCACGCCGAACTCTTCAGGAGGAGGATCCGCCGCCATCTTAGTGCGGGGTGGATTAGGTGGGAATGAAGTTTGTAAGCCCAGTCACCGTCGCCGTGGCAGTCCCCTCAGCAACCGCGTCCGCAGCCGCCGCCCCCTCGTTTAGAACGCCAGACGAGCGCGGTGTGTTGCTGACATCGCCCCCTGCCGTTGGCAGAGAAGAGCGCAAGCACCGCGGAGGCCTCGGCTGGCTGAGCAGAGGGACGTTTTTCTATCTTTCGAAGTGCGCAGCTATTCAATCTACGTACTTAGTTTTTTTTTTGGGATTTGAACAATAGGCTGAACAAGAACTGGATGTACAATGTATTGGATGCACGATGCATTAGTCCATATAAGAAAGTAAATCGAAGATATTCCCAGCCAAGCTGTGAGCACTGTGCAAATGCATTTGCATTATATGTTTGGGGATAATAAACGTCAGGTGGCTGGTGAATGCAAAATGTACATTTTCAATTGTGGTAGTCACTCCTAAAACGTGTGTGAACTAATTTTTCCCCTGGCAATCTTCACACCCTCATGGATTATCGTATGATTATGATGGGAGAATTTAAGCATTAGAAGAAATTGAATTGATCCCGTGGTACATTCTCATTTCTGCTCATCCATACAGTATTTTGAATTAAAAATATATCAGTACCTTGATGCATAAATATACCAAATCAAAACTGCATTACACATTTAATAAAATTTATAATAGCAAAGAAACACATCCATTCCTAAGGTATGTATCAAAATACTAATTAATATAAAACCAAATAGATAAAAATTAGCTAATAAACATTTTGACAACTTTGTCTTGAGGATATGTTGCAGATGAACTTGTTCTTGCAAACATGCTGCCCTAAGTCTTATCTACAAATCTGTCAGTCAAAAGTTATAGTTCCATAAACTTTATGGACAGATACCAAATGCTGATGCCCTTATTTATAAGCCAGTTTACACATGACATCATCACAAGTTGGTAGGGAAAAATCCACAATCACTGATTTGGAAGTTTTGATAGAAGCCTAGACCAGTAGGTTTAGTTATTTGTCAAAACTGCAGTCCAGGTTTTGCAAAAACTCAACAGTATCTGATTGCCAGGCCTGATTGAATTGATCCATGTGATCAGAGACTGGTGCATACTGTAATCAGCTCTTATTTCATCTTGCCTCTTCTTCCAAGAACATCACAGCTCAGCTCCCCACTTCCACCACCTGTTGGTGAAGCTTAAAAAACAGCTGACAGGTACTGGGTAAATTGCAGGGAGAAGCAGAAGAAACCCTGTATTTAAAAGTAGTCCCTCAGCACTACTACCTGTCAGCTCTTGTCAGGCTATTTTAAAAAGGAGGTTCTGAAAGAGGGATAAACTTATTTAATAAACAAAAAAAAGGTCAGGGAGGAATTGCCTGGTAGAGGAGTCTCCCTTCCTTTGTCTTGTGCATGCTCCTCCTTTATGTCACATGTAAATCAGATGAAGAAACTCTTCAAAGCTTCTTCAGCTCTGACAGGATAGTGGGGAATGGAAGGAAGAAGTTTCTTGGATGAAAAACTACACGTCTTCAAAGAAAAAAAAACAAAAAACAAAAAAATCCAATTGCCTCCTGAAAAATGCACCTTTGGGAAGAGAAGTGCAGGATTCTTTTTTGAATCCTCCACAACTTGAATGGTTGGACAGAGAGGAGGGGGGGGGTCAACCTATTGTCCAAAGCCGCTGAAGGCCAGATAAAGAACAATGGATGGAAACTGACCAAGGAGAGATTCAACCTAGAAATAAGGAGAATTTTTCTGACAGTGAGAACAATCCACCCATGGAACAGAAGTTGCCTTCAGAACTTGCAGGAGCTTCATCACTGGAGGTTTTCAAGAAGAGATTGGACTGCCACCTGTCAGAAACTGTGTAGGTTCTCTTGCTTGGGTGGGGGGTTGGACTAGATGACCTACAAGGTCTCTGTTAATTTTATTTATTTTATTATATTTATTATATTTCTATACCACCTTTCTCCCATAGAATTAATTTAATTTAAATTAATTAATTTACCATCCCTGAAAGTTTTCAAGAGACTCGACTGCCACCTGTCAGAAACAGTGTAGGTTCTCCTGCTTGGGGGGGTGGACTAGATGACCTCTACAGTCCCTTCCAACTCTGTTAATCTGGATCTGGATTCTGCGTTGCCCCATAGTCCTAAAATCCAGCGCCTAGAGTTGGTGCCCTCCAGATACCATCATCAGCCAATAAACTGATTACAATTCACCGGATGGGGGGGTGGGGGAGAAATAATTCTACGGGATAATAAAACCCGTCAATGGTAGCAAGGCTGCCTTTACCGAACGCCGAAGAACGGCGGCGGTAGAGCTGCTATCACCAGCTTGGCGGGAGAGCTTTGGGCTGGAGCTCGGGTGGGGCGGAGTCGCGTTGTGGCGCGAACCGTTCAAGATGGCTGCGGAGAAGCTGAGAAGTAAAGTGGGCGCTGCTTTCAAAATGCACGGCTTGGTCCTCCGCGCGTGAGTAGTAAAAAAAAAAAGAAAGAAATCCCCCAAAATCTTTAATCTGAATATCGATAAACACTCTGAATGGCTATTTCTGCGTAAGGAAACTATATAAACAAAACACGATGGCTAAACCAAAATCAAACCGCCAGATTAATGTGTTGACTGAACCAGGCTAATCTGTTAACCCATCATTTTGCTTTGCTTCTTCTTTAACCACTGTGGCTTGTTAACCTTGGCTTACAGTATAACGTGTATTAATGCAAGCTATAACTTCTCAAATGTAATAATTAAACTTGTATGTTGCCTTGATTTTCAATGACCGTGCAGCTCCCAACAGTCAAATTAAAAATTTAAAAATAAAATAGAAACTGGCAAGCGCAACAGACCAGATGGAATGAAAACCTGTTCAGAAGGTACTATTTTTAGTTAAAGGAATTCAGCAGTCACATTTTATATAAGTAGGTAGTGTTTTCCAAACTGGACAACTTTCAGATGTATGGACTTCAACTCCCAAAATTCTCTATCCACTGAAAGTCATGTTTTGAGAAACACTGACAGGTACAGTAGTTTATTTGCACTTAATAGACTTATTCTAAGTAATGCATTTAATTGCATCTCTCAAGATGCTGCTGAGCGTAAATTCCTTTTTGCATACCTCAGTTGCATGTATAATAAAAAATAAGCCACTTAATAGTGGACACGAACCACTTAAATACAATATAGCATAGCATAGTGGATTGAACCCTGCACAAATAATAAGTTTGTTGTGTGATCTTTGAAAATTGGGTCCACTGAGTTAATCATAGTTCAGTAAAAAATTGGTAAGCATGTTTTGTAAACACAACCGTAAGAATTTTGTAATAAAGATATTTAGAAGTTCAAGATTTAATTTTCCAAATATATCTTACCTTGTTTGCCATAGTAAAGTTTGGTTATATGCATAACATATTTACCCAGCATTAATTTAACTGGCTCACAAAGATCAGTTGCCCAGACTCACATGACACATTGACTATAAAGTAACCCGTTTTACCTAATACCTCATGTCAAGTTAAATTATGATGGCAACTAGTGTTTAGCATGTTATACAAATAAGGTAATCCTCGATTCATTTAGTGACTGTTCAAAGTTACAACAGCACTGAAAAAAGTGACAATTGACTTATTTTTCTCAAGACCATTGCAGCATCGCTGTGGTCACATGATCAAAATGCAGATGCTTGGCAACTGGTTCATATTTATGACAGTTGTATATCCCAGGGACATGTGTTCACCATTTGCGACTTTCTGACAAGAAAAGTCAGTGGGGAAGCCAGATTCATTTAACAACCATGTTACTAACTTAACTGTAATGATTCACTTAACTGTGGCAAGAAAACTTGTAAAATGGAGCAACTTTCACTTAACTGTCACCTAGCAACATAATTTTTGGGCTCAATTGTGTAAGTTGATGACTATCTGTACAGCATCTGTATGTTAAACCATAACCAACCCCTGTCCATGGACCAGTACTGGGCGCGACATGCCAGAAACCAAGTTGTGCAAACAAGTAAAGCCCCATCCGCAGGATGCAGTAGCACACAAAACCATGCCCCCTCCAGTCCGTGGAAAAACCTCATCATGGGATTGGTCTCTGGTGCCCAAAAAGTTGGCCACTGAGTTAAACTACAATTTTGATTGACATTGGCAGTAAAGTTAATAGCTGACTATGTGGTTGGAGCTGTGATGGGAATTGTAACAGAAAAAGTGCAGAACACAAATGGAGAAAAACAAAACATAAATATGCTGTTATTGATAGGTAATGTATTTTTGAATATAGTAACTATTTTCCAGTTCTTCCTTTTTTTAAAACTTCAAAACAGACCTCAGTCAGTAAACCAAACATAGACCTGCACTTTAGAAAATGCTGCTTCAAAAACTAAATGTTTCATATCATAAGTGCCTGTGACTTAGGTACTGTGGCCTTCTAGGTAAATGATACCTTCTTAAATCAAAGAAGTTTATACTTTCTGCATGAAAGCCAATGATACATAATAATCATACATGAAAATTGCCATACATGAAGAAAATGTCTACAACATAGAACTAAATCCTGTTGGATACAACTATTTGTATACTTGCAAAGCATTGTATGGAATGCATTTCTTTGTAAACCAGTTTGGTCTAGCAGTTAAGACCATGCTAGAAGAAAGCAGAGGCTGTGAGTTCTAGTCCCACCTTAGCCATGAAAGCCAACTGGATGACCTTGGGCCAGTCACTCTCAGCCCAACTCACCTCAGAAAGTTGTTACTGTGGGAAAAATAGGAGAAAGGTATGTTGGATATATTTGCCACCTGAGTTATTTGTAAAAATAATAAAGGTGGGGATACAATTAAATAAACACAGATCTGAAATCAGAAAGCATTGGACAGCTCTTACCTAGACAATGATGCTAACTTAGCTTTAATGATCCTGTTATAATTGCAGCTTGACAAATAATTACTCTTCAACATATTAATGGAAAGTTGAGTGAAATAAAACACTGTCCTTAGCTAAATGCTCCCACATTTATCTTTGAGAATTTGAAACAACTTCTTTAGGTCATTATCCATTCTCTGAACTGCAGCTACTATCAAAGCTTTGTGCAAATTGATAGTCATGATT